ATCCTGACCCCTTATAACTCCCTTTTCATAGCACACAATCATATCATGTCATTTCAGAACAAATCCAGACAATTTCAGAAATCGTACAAAAATTCAGCGGCATAACGGCAGTATACGGAATTTACACAAAATTCACAGATTCAGAAATTTACCAAATTACCACAGAACATTCACAACAACATTATAAGACTTTTATTCTACTGCCCAGACAATTTTAGACTTCATCAGAAATTACAGTCAAAATAAAACACCGCCGAATCAAAACTATCCGGTCAAAATTCTCCAGAAAATAATCAAAATGTGTGCACTCGGCACCTCAGAAACATATCAAAAGTTACGCGGTAAAAACTGAACCAATCGGAAAATACGGACGAAATTCGCTAACGAAAACGAAATTCGGACAGAAAAATCGTTCAAACTTCACCATTCTGAAAATTGAGAAAGGCGGAATGTGTCTTACCTTGCATACACCAATTTCTTGAACTATTGCAACGGACGAAAACGGACGGGAGTCGCCCAAAAATCACTTTTCCTTCTTTTTCCTTCGTTTTTCTCTCTCCTGGGCTTTTCTCTCTTCAAAATATCTCATTTCTATATATATCCAGACTGATCGTCCCGGACGATCGCAACTTCGTCCCGGGACGAAGTGGCTCTGGACGAATTTCGTCCAGACGAAATTAATTAACGTCCATGACGACTTGCTCTTGGGAGAATTTTCGTCCAGACGAAATTAATTATCGTCCCTAGACGACTGGGCTCTGTAAAATTTTTGTCCAGACGATCCCAATTTCGTCCAGACGAACCATGCAGCCAAACATGTTTTCCTGCACAACCTATACCGATCGTTCCGGACGATCCGACTTCGTCCGGACGAACCTGGGAGCAAAATGGCCTTTACAGCTTCTCACTAAAAAACTCCACCGGTTTGTTCTCCTAGCTCAAGACAGCACAAATGCCTATTGCCGAGGCATCGGTGTCCACATGAAATGGTTTACTGAAGTCGGGAAGGGCAAGAACAGGTGCTGAAGATAAGGCTTTTTTAATTGACTCAAAGCTTGCTTGTTGTTCTTGTCCCCATTGAAACTGTTTGAACTTGAGACAGTTGGTGATTGGCGCCATGATGGTGCTGAAGTTTTTTATAAACCGGCGATAGAAATTGGCGAGGCCGTGGAAGCTGCGTACGTCAAAAAAAGACCTCGGGTTCGGCCATCCTATGATTGCTTCAATCTTGCGTTGGTCCACCTGCACCCCTTCAGCAGAAATAACAAATCCAAGAAAGTAGTCATTTACTGTAGCAAATTCACACTTGGATGGATTTAAATAAAGCTCATTTTGCCTAAGAGCAGTAAGTATACTTGTTAAATGGCTTAGGTGATCCTCCATAGAAGAGCTATATATAAGAATGTCATCGAAATATGCGACGCAAAATTTATTGAGGAAGGGTTTAAGAACCTCGTTCATTAACCTCATAAAGGTTGAGGGAGCGTTGCATAGCCCAAAGGGCATCACCTTCCATTCATAGAGTCCTTCACGAGTCTTAAATGCAGTCTTTCATTCGTCGCCCGGTCGAATTCGTATCTGATGGTAGCCACTGCGAAGGTCAAGTTTAGAAAAAATTGTTGCTCCGGCCAACCTTTCTAATAACTCCTCAACCCGAGGAACTGGAAATCGAAACTTGATGGTAATTTTGTTGATTGCTCGACTGTCTATGCACATACGCCAACTCCCATCTTTCTTGGGTACAAGTAGTGCTGGTACTGCGCATGGGCTCAGGCTCGGCTGGATGAGTTTATTTGCCAACAACTCGTCCACTAACTACTGTAGGACCTGATGTTCCTTTGGGCTCATTCGATAATGAGGAAGGTTCGGAAGAGTGGCTCCCAGTACAAGATCAATTTGATGCTGCAACATCCTCAAGGGTGGAAGGTGATTTGGCATAGCAACAGGAAGGACATCCTGAAATTGTGATAGTAGTTAAGTAACCTCTCCCTCCGGTTTACTGTCACACTTGGGCAGGGCTAATTCTTTAACATATAATGCAAATAAAAGTGACGTTTCACGCCAAGTAGAGAGGAGTGCACCACCCGTCACTATATGCATAGCAGCTTTAGCATCGTTGGGCCTTGGGGTAGGACTAACGGTTTGAGATAAAAGTCTGAGTTTTCGCCCTTTCCAGTCAAGAGAATAAGTGTTGGCTCTTCCATCATAAATTGCCCCGACGTCGAATTGCCAAGGTCTGTCCAAGATTACATGGCACACGTCCATGTCCAAGACGTCACATAGTACCTCACAAAAGTAATGTTTGCCGATGGAGAATTTGATCTTGCACATGTCAAACACCAATATATCCATGCCTTTCTTAACCCAGCTTATTTTATAAGGTTGAGGATTCTTTGTGGTTTTAAGTTGGAGAGCTTGCACCACCGCATGAGAAACTATGTTCTCGGTACAACCACTATCAACGAGCAGGTCATAGACTCGGCCCTCAATGGTACACTTAGTTCGAAAGATAGCATGTCTTTGCGAATTGGAAGGCGTCCACGGACCTAATAGTAATTTTTCTAAAACACAAATGAGAGGCTCACCTTCATCTCCAACCACATCTTCAACATCAGTATGTTGTTCCTCATCAAGGATTGCTGGTTCATTCTCGTCTCCATCACCAACTCCCATAAGTTGTAGTTGTTGACGCGTGGGGCACTCATTGGACTTGTGTCCTTGTTGGAAGCATCGGAAGCATTTGATCACTTGCGGTCGTGAATACGGATTCTCCTTGGCGGTCATTCTCGGTCTTTGTGGGAGCCTTGAGTCCACCGCTAGCTTGCCCGGACTACTGGGACGGTTGCTCTCGACGGGTGAAGGGGCCTTGCGGAGGATCGAATTTGGTTGTTTTGCAGCTTCATGCCCAACACTAATCGGCACCCGTCTAAATGATCCGCTGCGATGGTGACGATCTAGTTGCATTTCAGCCTTGAGTGCTAAGTTCACAGCTTGAGATAGGGACCAAACAGAGTCCAGTTCCAACTTGTCTTGTATGGAGTCTTTGAGTCCTCCGATGTAGCGAGCAACCAATTGGTTTGTAGTTTCATTCAGATCATTGCGAGCACTCAAGCGATAGAATTCTTCAGTATACTCACTAACGGAGCGGTTTCCTTGAGTGCAATGCTGATAGTTTAAGTACAACATTTGTTCAAAATCAGTGGGAAGAAAATGGGCTCGTAGAAGTTGCTTCATTCGGTTCCAAGTGCGAACCCGTCCACGGCCCTCCCGACGACGAGACTGAAGAAGTTGTGACCACCACGCGTTGGCTCCTCCCTTAAGCCTGCAAGCAACGTATTTAACTTGTTTATCCTAGTCAATTTCCATGTAATCAAAAAAAATTTCAACAGCTCGCTCCCAGTCTAAATAGTCTTCAATATTGAGTCTTCCGTCGAAGAAGGGAATATCGAGTTTAACTCGAAACTCCCCAGGGTGCCTAGCGTGACCCCCATGCCGGCGTTGATGTCTTCCTCCGATTTCATCCCCTGAATCAGACATCCCGTCAGGGATGAAGCTTTCCTCTCCTCCTTCAGAACCCGACGAATCCAAAAGGGGCGGGGCTCCTATCCTTTCGCGATGCAACTGACCTCCATACCTGCCAGTCGGTGCGATTGCCGGTGTGGTCAACCGCAGAGGTCTGCGAGCAAAAGCTCCGGTGGCTGCGGTTTGCACCTCACGCTGAGGCTCCACAGTAAGACGAGATAACACAGCAGCCATGTCATCTAGCCTCTTGACTACAACCGTGTGTGCTGCCCAGAGTGCATCTAGACTGCGATCCTCTTCACTTGAGACACGCTTGCTTGACTCTGCCATCTCACCCAGCTGCTGGCTCTGATACCAAGATGATGTGGTATTCAATGGTAGAAGCAGGTGCAAAAAGCCAAGAACGAATACCAAAACGCTTGTAGCGTAAACTTTACTATTGAGAAAGTAAAAACTGTGTTACCCTCTTCCCGGAGAAGAGATACATGAAATACTGTCAAGAGATATCACTCTTGCTGAAATTAGTGAGCCAATAAAAAAGGCTTCTATGTACTAAACTATCCAAAAACGGGAAAGACAAGTAGTGGGATGACCACGCTATAACAGAATGTGGCATCAACTCTAAAAGACTAAGATAACTACTAAATGTAAAAGAAATAACAGTAAGCATAAATGACTAAGCCAAAGCATAAATGACTAAGCCAATCAACTGTGATGCACCGCATCAATTTGTGATTCATTAGGTAATTATACAACAAGTCTAACCTCACTTATATCCAGTTTTTTAGTAGTTAATACAGCTTTCGTTTCAATACAAACTGGCTCCAACTACAAGAATAGCGTGCTTGCTTATCTTGCATAAGCCAAGGATGGCCTAACTCGCAGGTCCAGTTCAAAATATCCGTTAAGTACCTTAGCTTTATATCCATTTATTTAATGTTGATCATGTTAAGGCGTGTCAAACAAAAACTTAATTCCCCCCAAGGCCAAATAATAATATCAGATGCCAATTTCTTGGTCCCTATATCTAGCGATGCAATAATAGAAATAAGGAATTACAGAACTCAGGTCAAAAAATAGAAGGGCTGTTCATGAATTCAGAATTCTTTCATTGGAGAGATTGGGACCAGCCATCAAATATAATTATTCCAGGATATGGAAATAAGTAGTAAATGACATTGAAACCAACATTTTTCATTAAACAGCGGATATTTCATGATAAGAAAAGGATCGATATGCAGCTCTAAGATGAGCAGTCGAATGTGAAGGACAAATTTGTAGAGTTAAGTGGAATCAGAGCATTTTTAGCAAGCACAAATAGAAACTAAATATAGATGGAAATTAGCATGTCCAAGCAAAGTTCATATTGAGAAAGAATCCACGAAGAGAGAAGCTCCAATATGAAAGTAAAAAGACTAAGTTCTTTACGAATCTAGATGATGGAGGAAAAAGAGCATACATTTAGATAGACAGTTACATCAATGTTTAGTATGTCACCATCCTGCATAAGAAGGTAAAGTTTTTAGTACAAGTAAAACTGCCAATTCAACAACTCTAATCTAGCTAGCAAAGTTGTGATGGATACAGGAATAAATATCATCTTGCAAAACCTGTAGCTGGCGGGAATCGGGTATCCCATGACACATGCACTCATTGACAGAGGTGCAGACACTTTTAGGGAATCCACCATACCCAAGAGGGGAAGGATAAGCTCCAGCATCAATTATCATGTTGTGAACTGCTTTATCAATTTCATTTGTAGTTACAGATGGCTGGTAGAAGAAAAATCTTCAGTAATGTCAATAACTCAACAAAATAATTGAACATTTGAGAAAAAAATAATCAACAACAATTGCATGAGACAAATAGCCAGACAAAATAGGTAAATTCAATATTAGAATCAATTTCTCACCCTAGGGAAATGGAATCTAAATGAAATATGCTCCACATATAGGAAAGATACACATGATGCATAAACAACAATTGAGGCCTATACAGCGTCCATTTAAAAAAAAATAACATTAAACATTTAATATCAAACGTTGTAGGCATGCCCAAATGCAGAGAAAAAAATAGCAATCTTAGTGCCATTATAGGTAGAATTGAAGCTTACCTTGACCATTGTTCCAGCAAAATCCAAGACGCGAGAAGCAAGTTCGCAAGCAGCTCTCATTTGAGCAATACCCTCGGCATTGTGTATCTGATATTCACTAGAGAGTTCTGGTAGCTTTGAACCAACATAATAAGGCTTGGGAATGTGATCTGGCACAGACAGAGGTCCAGAAATCTTCCCACGCTTCAGTGGTGGCCTCTTTCTTACTTTGGTTGTCCCCTGCTGCTCTCGCAACCTTATCCCAATTCAAACAGCAAATGAAAGGGAAATAAGTGATATTACCAAGAGTAGTTTTGATGTAGGACTAGAATGCTTGAAATGATTGTAAAAGAGCTTGCACGATTTATTGATTAGAGTAATAACAATTAGGACAATTAGCAAATAAAATGCAAGAGCGGTCACTTCCGTTTAGGTTAAGTTGCACGATGCAAGTTTGAACCATCAAAATAGCATATTAAATCGACAACATACAAATATAGTAGCTTTCAACGAAAATCCCTAATCTAACAATAAGATTAGCAACAAAATGAAGAGTATTCAATCCCTACGTTTACTAAGCTTGGCAGATTTAGGCAAACGCGATCTTCATGACTAAAATCAAATCAGAATGAAGGGGTTAGACTTAAGACTTACAAGAAGATGGAGATTAGAAAACCTTCGTCAAGGAACGGTTGCAATCCTCCACTAGACAGTACCAAGTTGCTCCTCAATAGCCTCGACCAAAGTGTTCAAGATGCGTTCCACGTACTCTTCTAAGGTATGATCGATGCGCGGGTTGACGTCGAAGAAGGTCGAGTGCAAGATGCAAACAAATCCTTGCTCGTCGTAGGAGAGGCCGTAGTCAAGATCGGGATCGACCATTCATGAATGCTAGACGACGGGCGCTTCTGGGATTACTAGCAACCTTGAACTCTGTTAAAGAGAAAGAAATTTCTCTTTAAGTTGAAGTTGGGAGGAAAAGGTGTGGCCGGCCAAGGGATGAGGGTTGTGAGAGGAGAAGTAGGTTAAGTAGGGAAGAACAAGTTAAAAATCTGAAATAAATTTTAGATTTTAATTGGGAGGGATTTAGGAATTAATTTGAATTTAATTCCAATAGGGGAAGCTTTATATTGGGAAAGAAATTAAGAGGTGGGGGGGGGGGTCGGCCAAGTAAGAGAAGGGGAGCAAGTGTCTAGATGCAATGTATTTGGAATTAGGGATTTAGTTAATCAATCCATCATGATTTGATTGATTGATTTAAATTAGAACCCTTCCAAAAATAGGATCAAGAGGAAATAGGAAAGATTTGAAATCTAAATTGGATTTATTTCAAATTCGAATACTTTCCAAAATCAAGTGAAGATAAATAAGGAAGGGTGGGGAATTTGGAAATAAATCCAATTGGATTTAATGAAGGGGGGGCGGCGGCATAATTGGGCTAGGAGGGATTTATGGGGGAGATTTGAATTGCTATTTTAAGATTTAGAAATTAGGAAAGTTACAATTAAATCCTAATTGATTTGAGATTCAAATAAGGCTTAATTTAGGAAACTTTCCTAAGATAGATTTAGTAAATTATGAAAGATTTTAAATTTCAAATTGGATGAATTGGAATTCAAAATCTGCCCCAAATTAAATCAATCTAAAATAGGCAATAACTCAAAGGGGAGGAGGGAAACTAGGGGGCTGGTATGGTGGCCGGCGGTTGGGTGGTGTTGGGGTGAAACCGATGGGGGTGGTGTGGGGATTAGGTGGCCAGTGGCTTGGGATTTTGGGGAGGACTGTAGGCCGGCGGCTAGGTGATGAAGAAGAGGGAAAATTAGATAAAGAAGATGAAGAAGAACCACGAACCCAGCCGTCTCCAAGGTTGGTGGGTGATCCAATTTCACTCTCCTAGGGATTTCTCTCCCAAGCACTCTCAAGTCTCACAAAGAACTCAAGCAAAGAAATATTTAACATTCATTCATTAACTTGAAAATAAGAACAGTGGGGCTATAAATAGCCTCTTACAATGGCTCAAAACATAACAGGACGACAATGCCCCTAGGGCTTACATACGACCTCCCTTAATAAAAGGGTACAATGGGAAACTAATAAAGCAAATACAATATGACATCATAAATAAGAAAATGCGTAAATAACAAAATACATAAAACAAATCAGAAATACAATGACTCAATCGTGGCAGTAGATTGACGGCCACGTCTCTGATAGACCTTACACAATCTGATGTCCCCATCAAGTTTGTCTCAGCTGTTGTAATAAATACCATAGCATGATCTCTAGTAGAGTTCCCTTCAAAAAACACTAAGAGAAGATGATAGACAAATGCACCAGTTTTCATGATTAAGTTTAATGAAAACCCTCCCAAAACTAAAACAACCTACTGTTGTTTACAGCATACAATCAAGGGAATGAGCTGTATAATCAAAGCAAATAAACAGTAAAGAAAAAAAAAACAACATGGCCCAATCTGACGCAAAAAGTAATCCTGTTGCTGATGAAATGCGTACAGGTCAAGCAACAAATAGTATATATGACGGTACAATATCCTATACAACCAACATCATCAAGCAACAAACAGTGCCATGTCCATATGCCCCATTGCCACCTTAACCATCAAAAAATATACTCTGGAAACTGATTCATAAATCGCTAAGTGTCAATTGATTCCTTTCTACTTTTATTATGCCACATAAAAGTCATCCGAGGATGGATGCTTAACTGGTTGTTCTCTTTTTGGTTGGCATCCAAGAAATAAATTCTAAATTATCACAGCCGTTGCTATTCAAGAGAAAAGTAGCCTACAGATAGTTAGGATAGTACTGATAATAATAGTGATGAAGATGATGACAACCTTGAGAAAAGAGACAGACTCAATTCATCGTTGTTAATTCAGTAATAACTGCGATTTTTTGTTGGAAGCACAGAAGAAAACCTAAAAAGGTTTTGAATTTTTTCTCATATTAATGAATGATATTAAAAAACATAACATGAAGGACTTTAAGGAGATATACAGGGCAAAGCTAACATCATTCAAACTTGTTCAAAAATACTTTGAATCAACTAGAATTAACAAAAGATGCAGCTAAAAAAGAGGAATGAGCAACATAAAGGATGAAAAGGGAGATGGCGATAAGTAACTTGTGACAAAGCTATAAAAATGAACCATAAATCATTATCTTGAGAGCAAATTTGTTGGATTAAAATAGTCAAGATAATTTTGAGAATAAGCCAAACTTCCACATTTGTTAATGCCAATTGAATTAGTAAGGTAAAAGCACAACAAGGCCATTCCCTTGAAGAGGCAAAAGAATATCAACAGTAGAATAAAATATTCCATACTATTAAAACGGTACAAAAGCTCATTTGCAAGACACTGAAAATTCAGTAAATTATGAATAAAGCCTTCTTCCAAATTCACATTAGGATTAGCTACCTCCTAATTCGGATGGCCTCCTCCAGCCCAGATAGTCTTCTTGCTATGATGGCATCGCACCTCTGCTTTGTTGATTTACCTAAATTAAAGAAATTTGCAAACAGCTTAGATAAAAATATCAATGCATAAACTTTCAAAAAGAAAGTGGAATTAAGCCCATGATAAAGATGGCCAATCATAAGAAGTATAAACTATAGAGTACTCAATGAATTCATCAAACAAAATTCTAAATAATTAAAATAAAAAGATGTAAAAAATAGAACATGCTGTTTTAAACAACTATTCATTTTAAGCCCTTTTTTAAACATGCAGAACTTCTTCAAAGGTGGAAGAAAACAATCTAGCATATTCAGCTGAGGCATATTCATTATTGTTTAACTCCTTTAAAACAATATAAAACATGTCTGGATTAATTTGCATCTTCAATATCTAAACTTAACAACCCAAAAGAAAATATAATAATAATTCAAAACATTTCTTCTAGGTTATGCCCATAAATTCATAGAATGGACTTTCCACATATACCAATAAACAAGCTAACTAGTCTGAACCGGTTAGCTAAAACTAGGGGTGTAAGTGAGCCGAGCCAGCTCGTGAGCTGGCTCGAGCTCGACTCGTTTATGAGCTCGCGAGCCGAGCTTATCGAGAAAAAAGAGGCACAGGAGGGAAAATGTAAAACTGAATCGAGCGGCTCGCGAGCCGGCTCGAACTCGATTTTAATGGGACGAGCTCGAATTCGAGCTCGTTTTTTGAGATCGACTCGAGCTCGAGCTCGAGCACGCTTTCCGACTAACGAGTTGAGCTCGTTAGTGCTAAAACTTGACTCGATTCGACTCGTTTACACCCCTAGCTAAAACCCATAAGTGAAAATGCACTCATTCAATTACTATTTCTGAGCACATAAAGAAATTATAATCTTTTAAGATCTCAATGTGACTTTGCATTGGTGAATCTCATGAAAACATATGGCGTTGCTATTTAAGAAGAGAAACAACCCTTGCATAATGCTTTTTAATTGAAACTAAAAGCATGGTAGGAAGAGCACAAACTGGTTGAGTCAATCTAAGAACAAATTATTTAACATTGATCCAAGTCTCAAGGAATCAAGTACAAAAGATTAGTTAAATGCTCTAAAGATGTCCTGCATATAGGCTTATAAGAGAGTAGATGAAAAACCAGTTCTAATTCCACTCCTTTTCTCCTTCAAAATTGCTAGAGTCCAGATAGTTGCAGCTTGCTTTGTTGTCTAAATAATAAATTACTGTTTCTGGTCAAATTTTAATCAGCAAGAACCTTCAAAAACAAAATCTGGTTGCTTGAAGACATTCCCAAGCCTATTAACCTCAATATAGCTGGAACTGAGAGCGCTAAAGAAGGGTGTCCCCTCCCCTCTTAGTTGAAGAGAGAGAAAGAGAGACGGAGAGGATAGAGAAAGGAGTTGGGGGAGAGGGGAAGGGATAATCTAAAATCTGAGATTTTGAATTTTGAAGTTCTAGTTTTCATCACATCAAATGAAAGAAAATTTCATATCCTAGCTAATTCCTAAAATCAAAGAGAAAAAAATAAAAATATATTTGAAAAACAAACAACAACATTTCCTAGATACTGCAAACCAATTCCTAAAATATACGAAAAGAACAATTTTATAAGCTAAAATACAAAAATTAATAGAGAAATTGATAAAAACAAAAAAAAACAAATGAAATATAACATTACATGGCTTGAAAAAGCCTTAGAACATCATCCGAGTTCAATCAACCAGCCGCCACGACAGCACCCTCAAACTTATTTGGCTGACTATCATTGACCTAATTGCATGATGCCAACAATCTAGCGAGCAGATTTGATCCTTTTTTATCAAGGATTACCCCATTTGCTTCATTCTCTACTAATAAATAGTTGTAATGGGAATAGTCGCACCCCACTATCTATCAGCACCACGACCTCCCTGTCTGTTATCTCTCCTCTCACTTTCATGGTGTGATTTAGAGTGAATCTCACCACTAAGTTCAACAAGATCTTTGTCAAGTCTAAATGCAGCTCTTCTTCCTCCACCACTGCCTCACTCCCACCTTCCTCTTCAGTTTCCTCGTCATCACAGACAGTGAAGAGCTCGGTCCTTACACCAATACTCTGGTGTATACCTCTCATCACATCTAAAACACAGCTCCTTCGTTCTCTTCTCTAGTAACCCCATTTGAGTGAGGTTCTTGAAGTTTCCCTCAACTCTTCCTCCTGCAAACTTCTCCTTCGGGATCTCCATAGGAATTCCTGGTGTCAGCCTCTTAGGGTGCCAAAAAGGTGATGGTCATCCTGTAAGAACCTTCCGAGTTACTTCCTCTAGCCTCTCTCTCCAGTTGCTTTTGATCCTCCACAAATTGGGCTTGCTCCATAGCCTCTCCCAAATCACAATGCCTCATCGCTCTAACGGTCGCCTGAATCTCTAGTTTGAGCCCTTTCATAACATTCCCCTCCAGTACAGTCTCTAAAAGCCAGTCCATTCGTCTGGCAAGGTACTCAAACCTCTACGGAACTCCACCACTGTCCCCTCATGTTAGAGCGAGAAACTGCTCATAGAAGTCCTCTCCCCTTGCTTGTTTGGAAACGTTCCAACAAATAGTCTTTAAACTTCCTCAAAGTTTGTATGAGCCGCCTCATATCCCTCCACTAATACCATGCCAACGTCTTCCCCTCTAAGCATAGCCCAACCACCGTGAGTCTCTCCTCCTTCTTTAACCCATTGATGGCAAAGTATATTTCCACCCATTTGCATCCTCTCCATAAAAAATCGGCATCTTCAGCTTTCTCATCCTCGGATCTCCTCCGTTCTCCTTGTTTCCTCCATAAACTCTCTTCCCCAAAGGATTTAAACCCCCCCCCAGTATCCCGATCATCCCTTTTGCGTTCATACCCAAACCCTTCATAAAAATCTCCCCTTCTTCTTTCAAATTCAGAACCCTTCCGATAATAATCAACCCCTCTCCTTTCAAATTCAACAACCTTTCGCTCATACCAAACCCCTCACGCTTCTCCCCATACCCTCTTCCAGTCTCCTCTCTAGGAATAGACTCTAGGGGAGGCCTTCTCTCTTCTCCCTCCACAATCCCCACCTCCTAATCTTCCCCTCTCCTTATCGGATTAGGATTTTCCCCACTCCCTTGACTGTCAGCAACTCCCTTTGCCTCTTATGACGTCATTTTGGTATGGATCTCGAGCATCTTCCTCATCATCTCCTCCATGATCGTAAACTTTTCATCGATCTCCTCATAGACGGCTGAAATTTGACTTTTGAAATCTAAAATTTTTTCATCGAAATTAGATTTCAATTATCCAAAGTCTCCTTCCAACACTTCTACATTTCTTCATGTCATAAGTACCCGGATCTACGCTCTGATATAAGTACCCGGATCTACGCTCTGATACTAATTTGATAAGAAGTGAATGCAATTTCAACAAAAACTAGAAATCGACCAATAGAAAAATAGGAAGAAGAATATCCAAGAATACTTTTTATATTGAATGAACTATGAAGGAAAACACAATACACAATTAGATCTTCAATTGGAAAGGAAGATCTTGCTCTCCCAACTCACTAGTCACCGGCTAAAGCCCTCTCAACCTAAGCAATTCTAAAATCAGCAAAACAAAACACACAAAAAACTCAACCCTAGGGTAAACAATGAACTTAAAGCATACAATAACATAGCAAAGCCTAAAACAACCCTCTCCATTTGAATTTTCCCTCCTACCGCGGAACCACCCCTATGACGCTCTTTGGAGATCTAGCAAATTCCTTTCAAGAATTGGCATGCTCTTCGCAGATCTTGCTCTTCACCACTAATATCTTCCTTTACATCAACTGACAATTCTAAATCAAATGGGCTCTGAGATAGGCATCTCAAGCACACCTCAAATAATGAATTTGGCATCCAACAATGGAAGGCAAACTACATGCAAACAAGACTTGCACACCAAGTCTTAGAATATCAAGAATTATAGATCCTCGACATACAAACCAACATTTGATTCACCATCTCTCTTTATCCATCAATTTGTGGATAAAAGGTGATGCTTAATTTCAACTTCGTGATCTTCAGACCTCGAAGAGTCTTATAAAAATTACTCATAAAATTGTGGTTCGTATAAAAATTAATGAATGAAAGCAACCTAAAGTGCTTTCAAAAATGTTAGAAAACAACGTTGCATCCTCCTTTTAGTGATGGTCTTTGGCATATATTCAAACGCATAAACAAGCACATCTTCTTGCTGAAATAAAACTCCAACAATTCTTCAAAGTGGCACAGACTCCCATGGCCCATTTGGAGCAGGCAAAGGCATATACAAACCCATCTTCCAGTTTGAAGGCTTTAGTGTACTATCGAGTAGTCACCAGTTCAAAAGCATTTGCATTTGTAAGTGATCCTATGGCCTATAAAGTAGCACTTTAGATTTTCGGGAGTTTTCTCCACACCTAGATGTCGAACTAATTTTGAAGTATGTGTTTCTCATAAAATGATTAGCCTCTCTAGGCACATTCACAACTAATCTCCATTTTATAATAAATCTTCCTACCAACTATATGCTTGCTTTTCAACACAATCAATTGCTGATATTGAAGACCTCGAAACTGTATTTTGCTATCCAAACCTAACAACTATTTATAGATTTTAGACAATAATTCCAAAATATAAGATAAGATCGGCTTAAAGCCTAAACTATAGGAATGGATAAGGAAAAATGATAAGAATAAAAAATTCAAATAAAATCCAACAATATATGATCTAAAAAACCCCAACACCTGCATTCGAGCCTAAAAGACAAGCCCCCAGGAGACCAATCTTTGACTCCTAGGATTGGTTATTCCAACTTATATGTCGTCAACTATCTAGCTGGCTGATTTTATGATTTTATCAGCGTGGATTAAACGCCAAAATGCTTTTTGTTCTAATCAACCGATATTAGGAATGGTTGATAATATTCAGGAAAAATTATGTCATCTGAACATAAATTTTGTATAAGCTAGAGAAGAAGATAGGTCAGCCAAAGATGGCTTAGTTAGAAAAATGTTTAAATAAAGCCTATTTAGCCAAAATAAAACTAACATCAAATATTATTTGTACCCAAGAACAAACTCAGACCAAGATGTATAAATGGTATAATCCTTGCACTCTAAAGAAAAACTCAAATGTTCAAATCTGCACAAAAATTGAGGAGAATTCAAACAATGATATTTCCTCTCAATTGTTCTATCACTTTGGAGCATTTATAGAACACATCAATAATATTTATGTACAATATTAATATGCATGTGTATTCATTATCAAATACACTAAAGGTGACTGTTGAAATATATGCAAACTAATTATGGGAAGTAGAGTGAGTGCATCACAGAGCACTAATCAAGAACAAATGGAAAAGGAGAATTCATAAAGATGAATAGTTGGCATAAGGATATTGATTAAGATGATGATGATGATGGAGAAAAAGCATACACATGGCATGAAGCTTCCGGCCTTCCGCCACTAGGATCTGTGAGGGGTTGATGTGCGCAATCTTATGGTAGTAATTCAAATAAACTAGTTTTGACCCAAACCTATTATTTCCTAATCATGATGGAGACAACTTAACAACTGATTTAGGCATATCCTCTTGGTGATGATCATGATTGTTAGATTAGATATCTTTCTTTAATTTTACATCCAATTTTTAAATCTGCAAATCTGTTGTGAAAATTCATATAAAAAATATTTAAATCTTCTATGTTTTTGAGCATTAAGAGAAATATGAACTTGCATGAATATACATACAATATTAAGAACAATATGAACACTATCTAGAACGGTAAAAAAATACATACACTAAAACTCGAAAAGAAAAGTTAAAATCAAAAACATAGTAATAAAACCACATATTAGTGTGCATCTTAAACATAGTAATAAAACCACATATTAGTGTGCATCTTATTCAATTTATGATCTGTTTCATCTTGTCCAAATTGTGATCCCTTAAGCTAACAAGACCCAGTAATGCTGCATAGCTAACCAAGGTAATGATATCTAATTATACAATATGGATGGCCAGAATTAGCTGTTTTCAAAGGTTTATAAGAGATGTTGCATCCTGGAGTATTCGTGGCGGTAGAGAAATATGTAGTTTAATGTCTTAACGTTGTACGAAAATCCAGCACACAATCCGATAAGAGAGAGAGGGTGTTGGGTTCATAAGAGACACCAGAGTTTTTATGTGGAAACCCGTAAAAAAGAGGAAAAAAACACTGGGCATGACCCAGTGTGAATGAATCCACTAGTATTTGCAATCGAATACAAATGAGGTCCTTCCTTGGGAGAAGGCTTTGGCTTGATGGTACAAATGTACATCATATAGAGCGCATTACATGGTGTGAGTTACAATACATACATGTTTTTTTAGTCGGCACGACCATAGTCGATATGATAGAGGTCGAAAAGACCGTTGTCTGGTGATGGAGGTCGGAAGGACCATAGTAGGTGATGGAGGTCGGAAGGACCGTAGTCGGCAGGAGACTGAGATCTGAAAGACTATAGTTGACAAGAAATCGGGGTCAGAAAGACCATTGTCAGGTGATGGAAATCGGAACGACCATAGTAGGTGATGGAGGTCGGAAGGACCGTAGTCAGCAGGAGACAAGGGTCGCAGTCAACAGGAAACAGGGATCCAAAAGACCGTAGTTAGCAGGAGACCGGAGTCTGAAAGACCGTAATTATAGGACGATACTCCGGTAGAACTCTGGGCGTCAGGTGGTGGTCCGGCAGAAGTTCGGGCGTCACGTGGTGGTCTAGGAGAAGTTTGGGCCTCAAATGGTGCTCCGGGATAAACCAGGGCCTCAAGTGATGGTCCGGCAGAAGTCCGGGCGTCACGTGGTGGTCTGGGAGAAGTCCGGGCCTCAGATGGTGGTCCGGCATAAACCAGGGCCTCAAGTGGTGGTCCGGCAGAAGTTCAGGGCCTCAAGTGGTGGTCCGACGGAGTTCAGGCCCTTAAGTGGTGGTCCGACGGAACAACGACATCAGGTGGTGGTTCGGCGGAGGTGAGGGCCTCAAGTGGTGGTCCGGCGGAGCTCATGGCCTTAAGTGGTAGTCCGGCGGAGCAACGATGTCAGACGGTGGTCCGGCGAAGGTGAGGGCCTCAAGTGATGGTCCGGCGAAACTCAGGCGATGGTCGAGAATAAGCTTCTTCCTTCTCTTCTTGCTTCGGTAGTTCGGTCCTCTTTTCAAGAGGAATGAGGGGCCTATTTATAGATTTCTGGAGTGCATGGCCAGTAAATAGGTGAGAGATCAATGGTAAATGGTGAGTGGTTAGATGGACGGCCAATGTTGAATCCCTTGATCATGGACCATTTGATGGACATTTGAATGTCTTAGTGACATCGAATTTTAGTGATATTGGGCTCGTTGGATTCGTCTCGTCGAGCCGCTCGATTCGACTATAAGCACTTTATGTTTGGAAACTGTTTGGTAATCCAAATTGAGGTTCGAACCTTCCAACAGCGCTTCTAACCCTTGATTTGGACCCGTTTGAGCTCGGATTGGGTTCAATTTGGTGTCGTTGGGTTTGTATTCTTGAGACGCTCAGTTCGACTATAATTTTGCTGAAATCGGAGTTCGGATTGTCCCAATTTTAATTTTGGAAGTTTCCAACTTGATTTTGCATCGATATTCGTCCCCGGTCAAGATAATTTTTTTATGATGTATCAACTATCAAGAGAGTTACTTGGAACAATCCTTTAAGCATTCGATTCTCAGGCAATAACAAAATATTCTCTAATGATCATAATAAGGAACGCAAAATAGGGTCCTTAATAGAAGTGATGTCCATGGGGAACGGAATTTAAAATCAAGGTCACGAGGACATACATAATAGTCATGTTAGGTTACACGTCGCAAGGCTTTCCATTGCCACTGACCTAATTTTATACACCACTGAATACTTATAATAAAACGGAAAATGGTTTCTTTAATTTCGAGGAATTCGATCCCATGTCCTTCGCAGCAACTTTAACTTTCAAGGAAGAAAACTACGGTGATATTTCTATAACTCATACCAGCAGCAGCAGGAAGAAAGCTACATAGTGGCCAGCCCACAAGGAAAGGTTTCTCCGATAGAGCTCCCAAATATGAAGAAAATGGAGACGCCATTCCTGGTAAAACCATGGCGAGCTGCGCTGCCATCTTCGGAAAGAAACGCAAAAGCTCGAAGCCTGGATTTCGAGCTTGTTGTTGTAAATAAAGCTTTCTTGTTTCTTCTTCTTCTCTCTTTTACTCGGCTTCGAACAACGTGAAGGAGATACAAACCCCGGCGATGGATAGGAAAGCCGTACGGCAAATGGCAAATTTTTCCCGCGGTACAGAGCTTCTTATGGTATCTCCAACAGAAAATTTCATTTTAACCTTCAAAATATAATAACAAATCTCCCACAAAACAATATTTTATATATTTTATAATAATAAAAAAAATTCTAAGTATATTATTTCTCCAATCATTAAAAAGACATTAATGAATAATTCAACCTCAATATTGTCTTTGCATTGTTCAAGTTACAAGAATGGTATAAATATTGACGTCCAGGTGGACTGGTGGAGTAGCACCCAAATGGTAAAAGATGTTTTAGAATTCGGTTGGAGATGACCTTATCAATGGAACAGTAATGACGGTTGAAAATAACATAATATTTTGGTATCTTTTAATTTTTTAGTTGTTTGATCTTAAATGTATTTAAAACAAATTATATTTGTTAAAAAGCTTAAAATATATCTACTATTTTATTATTTTTTTACAGAGAAAAATATATCTAAATTTTTTTATGATTAAATATTGTCTTTTATATTAGTATCCCATTTAGGGGTGCAAACGAGTCAAGCCGACTCCCAAGCTGGCTCAAGCTTGTGAATCGAGCTTATCGAGTTACCAGCTAAAGCACGTGCATAAATTTGACCTCACGGGATTATTGAGCTCAAGTTTGATCCTCGAGATGCACAGTTCAATTATGCATCGAGCGGCTCGAGTGTGGAATTGAATCCGGGAAAGGTTGAAACTCGGAGGCGGGGCTCAAACATGGAAGGCCTAATCGCGTAAGACGGGGCCAGGTCGCGGATGTGAAATCGAAGCTTGAATCGTTGTATTGAGCAACTCGAAGAGCTCGTTTTTAGTGGCACGAGTCGAGCTCTAGCTTGGCTTTTTTAGCTCAACTTGAGTTCGAACTCGGGATTTGGATCGCGAGTCGAGCTCGAGTTAGGCCAAACTTGAACTCGACTCGTTTGCACCACGAAGTTCTGGTTTCTTTATTGTTGTGACCATCTTAGTATCCTTGAGTTTCTTCGGTTTGGAGAGACAACATCTGTGAAGTTGAATATGTTTTTGTTCATCGACAAATTAAGCATCAGTCAGTTTTTTTTTTTTTTTTTTTTTTTTTTTTTTTTTTTTTTTTATTTTTTTTTTTTTCTTTCTTTTTCTTTTTTAATCATATAGAGGGTTAAGCAAACTTCACAATGTTACAAAAAACTTTAGGACATTGTAGCTATCCTTGGGTTGGACGAATTATCCAAAGAAGATAGTTTAACTGTAGCAAGAGCACACAAGATTGAGTGTTTCTTATCACAACCATTCTTTGTGGCAGAAGTCTTTATTGGTTTTTCGAGGAAATATGTTGGTCTCGCATAAACAATTCAGGGGTTTCAATTCATCGTAGATTATATCATTTTGATGGAAATCTAACATCAAGCTAGATATAGTAGCAAATAGCATATTTTGATACTTATTAAAATATATGCATGAATTATATTGGATATTGATTGAATATTGCTTAGGGTAATATAGGCTATGTTTTTTATATTTATTCGAGTCATGCATGTTCAAACATTATTTGATAAATATAAGGTCTGGTCATGTATTAACTAGTTAAATATTTTAACTATGTTTGAATAAGGTGCGATTATGTCTTTTAAATATTGTTGAATTGCTTTTTGATATATAGATATACCTCACCATTGTTCATTTAATGTTTGAACATGTTTGAAAATGATTTGATTATTTTTTATTTATGTTTGAATAACAAAGAAGTTCTACATTGACAAAATAGTTTCTATAAGTAAATCAATCATTAAAACTCTTAACTTTTTGGAGAAAAATAAAAATATAAGTTATGCAAGATGTGATTTTTCTCTGAAAATAATGGAATTAAAGCCTATCCAACGAGAGTACAAAAATTGTTGGTGGTGATTAAGGGGTATTATGAGGTGTTATAAATACACTATGCATTTTTAACTTATATGAGATGATTTAATGAAGTGCCACTCATTGTTGTTTAGTTATTTAAAAGAGAACTAGAGAAATCCATGCATAACAATTTTTCGATACAAGGTTATTTGACAATGTATTGCTTCATGACATCAACTTCTGTAAAGGAGGATAAGGTAAATCCACCAAGGATATTTAACCTATATAAATTTTGTTTATGGAAGTATTACTCGATGATATTGAATTGAATCACTTTAGTATACATTGAACCTTTGGGAGAAGGCAAATGATATGTATATCTTGAATCTAAGGTGAAATGTATTCTTTCTTTGAAGTTACGACTGATCTTACACCAAGGGTGGAAGACTAGCTTAGAATTACATATAGAATTTGAAACTCACTTAAATGAAATATTTCATATCTACATAGAACATTGAGAAAACAATTGTTAGCATGGTTATCATGGATGTGCATAGCAATGATGGATGATAATCGTGCTTAGGATGTCAACATGAACATCCAATTCTGGCAACAGTTAGAGTTGCTCCCAACCAAATGTCACGCCCCATAATCAAATATGGAAGAATTATCTATTTTAATATTTTTAATTATTTATCAGAGTTTCTATAAATTATTAATATAAATCTATATATATCAAGTAAAAGTAACTAATAATATATACACCATAATATTTTATTGTATTCATCTACCCAAATTTTATTTACACTGGCTATGCGATAAGTACAATCAATACTCTGCCATAAATTTTTTACAACAAAATAATTAAAAAAAAAAAACTACAAACAAAATCAAAAGAAACTTGAGGATTTTTGCATCACTCCAACTAGTATCAACTCCTTCCCTAACCTAAAATTATTAAAATAACTTAATGAGCTAAAAACATAGCAATAATCAAAACTCACTAAAGCTTTCAACTCAAGGCAAGAAGAGTCAATATGCATGCTCATTTCAGTCAATATGCATGCTCATTTCAATCTCATCAATGATTAATCACCACTAATACATTCCAATATGATCAATAATATAAAGCAATAATCATTCCACTTAAATTTGTAAATCATAATCTATACGAGACTATAAATGTATCAATAATTAGCAATAATAATTAGTATTCATATCAATAGGATAATAAAAGCATTATAAGAGTAAATATATACAATAAAAAGTAACTCATGAATACTTAAATCATGTGTGAGTCTATAAATGAATCATAAGTTTACAAGTGTCAATGTCGATGCCATCAGTCTTATCTATCTTATCGGGTATATAATAAGTACACATATCCATTCTTATGCTATCATGTCTATCAATGTCATATATAGACATTATAATTCTTTTTTATCAATACTATCAATATATACATGCTTTAGTGTTATTTTCATCCTTTCATTTATATTCACCACATCATTATATCATTAATATTATATTTCATTTATAATAATAATAATAATAATAATTATTATTATTATTATTATTATGCGTGGCTTTAAATAATCATCAAGAGTCGTCACCTTTATTCATTGGTGTAATTTGTAATCTATTACAGGCTACAATAGGGATAAAATCTCAAATCAGCTTTAAAGGGAAGCCTGTCAGCCCACTCTCCTACACAGACAAAGTATTATATTATAACAGTCAACCCATATTATAATATTAACAACCAGTCCTACTTGCTTATACAAATGCCCTACTTATTTCAAATCAATCATATAATTATCACCAAACAATGCAATATCATATATGAAATGTAACAAAATGCTCAAACATATAATATACAATAAAATATATATAATATACTATAACTTCATAAAATCATAATTTTATTTTTCACATAATAAAATGTGATGGTATTACAATCAAAATGTCCATAATATTCATATTTATCATGTAAAATAAGTAACACGATAAAAAATCGATTACAAAAAATATAACGATAAAAAATTGATAAATCAAGAGAATTTTTTTTATCAATTAAGGAGAAAATAAATCCATCAAACTCAATATTATTGAAAACTAAAATGAGATATGTGTTACTTACTATGATTATAATAAATCTCTGAACGAAATCAATGGACGAAAATGCCCCATAATCTACTTTTTCTCTATTCTCTCTCATCTTCCTTTCCCTTTCACTCTCTTCCTTATATATATAACACTTAAGATTTAAATATTATGTCTATCTCCCATAGAATAAATATGAGTGAATGTAATGAAATATTAAAGTTTATAGGGTGGTATAAGTGGTAAGAATAAATTATACGAGTGACATATTTGATATTAAAATTTTATATGAGTGATAATAATGTAATATTAAAATTTTAGATGTTAAGATGTAAAGAACATAAAATAAAATGATATTTATGTAAATCAACCTAAAATTTAATATAATAAAAAACTAGTGGCATATTCAAGGAAAAACATGTTAGCAAAGCTCAGCTTATATGAAATAAGCCGTCCTTTTCTTCCTCTTCCTCTACTACCACAATCCAAACCCTAAAATGTCAGCCGCCCATTTACTGTCGCATCCACCCACCAATGCAAAGTTTCCCGTCCACTTCCGCACCTCCCCCCACTCCGCCTCGCCCTCCTCCTTCTCCTTTCATCTCCTCTCAAAATCAACAACAACAGCACTAACCATAATCCCTCGCGCTGTTCTCTCCGAAACGTCCTCCCATACTTCACCTCTCTCATCCACTTCCGGTGCCGCCATTGGATCCTTCACGAGATCGCCGGAGGGTTACCTATGCTGCGATGGCGTCCGCGTGCAGGACGCAATGGAAGCGGTCGAGCGTCGCCCCTTCTATCTCTACAGCAAGGCTCAGATCACTCGCAACTTCGAAGCGTATCGAGAGGCTCTTGAAGGGCTGAGTTCGATCGTCGGGTATGCCGTCAAGGCCAACAATAATCTCAAGATTCTTGAACACTTACGGGAACTGGGTTGTGGCGCAGTGCTTGTCAGTGCGAATGAGCTCCGACTCGCACTTCGTGCTGGCTTCGATCCTACCAGGTCAATAGTTTCGAAATGCTCTGCTTAACGGAAACTTCCAATGACTTTGGATTGGGTTGTTTGTATGGACCACTCTGAAGTTTTGTGAATTGTAGAAAAAAGCAGTAATTTATTTAATTTCAGATATAAGGATAGCTAATCCTGGTCTTTCTGAAAATTCTAACAATGCTACTAATATCCCACTTAGTTGAAAATAAGATGCAGTGAAAAAAGAATTTGATAAATCCTATTCAATTAGGATTATACAGGTTTTAGGTTAGTAACTTCTGATTGTCAAACTGTTTGGTTGCTTCATTCATAAATTAAACCAAATCTTTGAACTGTTTGATTGATGATCAAATTATTCAATATATTTAAGAGAGCAAGTAAATGGATGTAAAATAAAATTTGTAAATCTCAATCCTAGCAAGACATGATAATCTATAAAGTTGAGCTAAGATATGTGAAATCCAACTAAATCTAGGTTATATTTCATATGGGATTTGCAAGTCCCTTAAATCTCTCTTAAATCCTACTTAAAGTGGCTTCCCATAGTCTTTATGCTGTCAAGATCCAGCCTGTAGGCTCAAATTAACGAGACATGAATAGACAATTAGACGAATACTTGACATTTTTATTTTCTAATAATAATGTTTTTCCAATATATTGAAAGAGCCATTAAAATTTTGAATTTTTTTTTTATGAAAATAAATAAGCATTGGAAATAAATATATTTCTTATGTGGCGTCACTTCTATTGTGCACGTCTTTAATTAGAGAGGAAGATTCGGCTTTCCCAAATCTCTTGGTCGGCTAGAGCCCACTCAACCTAAGCAAAACTAATTCCAACAAAATCAAGGAAAATTTGAAATTACCCCATAGTTTGCCTTAAATGGGCTATCCTGATTTCCTCCCAAATTAATGCACTTTCCCTAAATAATTCTCTCTCAGATTTGAATTCAAATTAGATATATTTTCCTAATCAGTTCTCTCATAATTATAATTAAAACTTAAACAATTTTCCTTTGATTCCTTCTTATATAATGCATATTAACTCTCATGGGCTTTCCCTAAATGATTCCCTTTCAGATTTGAAATTCAAATTAGATTTCTTTCCATAATTAATTCTCTTCCAATCGTAATAAAAACTTTCCTAAACAAATTTTTCTATCTCTTCTTGCCCATTGCCACCCTAGTGGGGCCCAACGGCTCAGCCGCTGATCCATCAATACTGCCTTCTCAAAGAACCACCTTGTTCTCAAGGTGGAACAAAAGAAAATGTCGCTAAAGCACTAGGCTAATAGCAGTGGATTAGAAAATGGAATGACACTTGTTCGAACGATCCCTGCCTCGATCATCTCCTTGATTAATCTCTCAATCTTTTTGTTTTGGATTTTGGGGTGATGGTACAAACAAACACTGATAGGTGGGACTTCTTCCTTCAAGATGATAGCATGCTTGCGTTCCCGTGGAGGAGGCGCAACCCTTGAACTGGCCGGAATACTCCTCGATATTGTTGTAGTGGTGGTTGAGCCATGTCTAGTTCTTCTATCTTATTTCCATCTTTTCTCCTTCTAAACTCTGCATTTTTCCTATCTCTTCTTGCCCATTGCCACCCTAGTGGGGCCCAATGGCTCAGCCGCTGGTCCATCAATACTCCCTTCTCAAAGAACCACCTTGTTCTCAAGGTGGAACAAAAGAAACTGTCGCTAAAGCACTGGGCTAATAGCAGTGGATTAGAAAATGAAATGACACTTGTTCGAACGATCCCTGCCTCGATCATCTCCTTGATTAATCTCTCAATCTTTTTGTTTTGGATTTTGGGGTGATGGTACAAATAAACACTGATAGGTGGGACTTCTTCCTTCAAGATGAAAGCATGCTTGCGTTCCCGTGGAGGAGGCGCAACCCTTGAACTCGCCGAAATACTCCTCGATACTGTTGTAGTGGTGGTTGAGCCATGCCTAGTTCTTCTATCTTCTTTCCATCTTTTTCTCCTTCTAAACTCTGCGATTAAAGATTATTTCAAATGATCTTATTTTATTTTGTACTTAAGACAAATATGTATATTATTTCAAAATAATTGGGTGTTGCTGTATTATTGGAGATATGGTGTATTCACTAAGCTGCGGTATAACTTCTATCTTTTAATGAATATACACATGTATTATCTAGAGAAATTAAATGAGTGGAAGAAGAGAAAACATTTGCTGTAGATGTGACGCTACACTATAGAGGTATTTGTTTTCAATATTTTTATATATATTTAAAGCAAAATTTAGAGTTTTAGTAGCTCTTTTGAAATATTGGAAATAAATTGTTATTAGTAAACAAAAATTTTAAATATTTTCCCAATTGCCTTTTTTGCACTCGTTAATTCGAGCATTCGGGGCTGATCATGACGTAAAGTTTGTTATAAAGTCTAGTACTACAACAACAACAACCTCAAGCCTTTATCCCACAACGTGGGGTAGGCAACATAAATCCTTTTTCTCCATTGTGCCATGTTAAAAGTTAAATTATCATTTAAATATAATAAAGAAACATCATTTATAATATTTTATAACCAAATCTTTTTAGGTCTACCTCAACCTTTCTTAAAACTAGTAAAATCTAATATATTTATTTTCCTAATCGGGTCATCGGAAGGCTACCATTTTATGTGACTAAACCATGTAAGGCTACTCTCTCTTATCTTATCTTCCACTGTAGCTACTCCAACCTTTTCACGTATATGCTCATATCGTATCCTATCTCTAAGAGTAATGCCACTCATCCACCTGAGCATCTTCTTCTCTTCAACACTTTATATTATGGTTCTCTTTTAATGACCAATATTCTGCACTATAAAGCATTGCAGGTCTAACCACCATCTTATAGAATTTTCCCTTAAGATTTCTATCACACAACAAGCCCGATGCATTCCTCCACTTCAACCATCCATCTTGAATTCTACTAATAATATCTTCATCTATTTCACCATCAATCTAAACATAGACTCAATATATTTAAAACATGTACTCTTAATAATGACTTAATCATCCAAAGTCACAATCCCCCCACAAGAACTATTATTACTTAAATTACACTCCATATATTCCGTTTTAGATCCACTCAAACAAAAGCCTTTAAACTCTGAGGTTGACCTCCATAATTCAAGTTTACCTTCAACTCCCTCTCTAGTCTGATCAGCAATAAGAATATCATAAGCACAAAACATACAGGGTACATCCTCTTGCAAATGTCTAGTGAGACCATCCATGACTATAGCAAAAAGAAATGGGCTTAAGGCTTATCCTTGATGTAATCAAATTGAAATAGGAAAATATTTGATCAAACCACCTTGTGTCTGAACGTTTGTCAAACTCTAGTAGCACTGTCAAATTTAAAGAGAACTCTAAGAATGCTATATGGATCGTTAGTTATTTTTTCTGTATGAAAATAGAGTAAATTATTTTCCGTGTTTGATCGTTTAGAAATTAATGCACTTTTTCTTTAAAAATGGAAAGTCCAATGAGTTTTATATAAATATGTCATTTAACAATAGCATGTGAGTGGGGATGTTATCCATGTATTCATGTTTTTTTTATTTGCTTGGGTATTTGAAGGTCAGATGTGTATTTAATGGAAACGGGAAGTTGGTGGAGGATCTTGTTTTGGCTGCGAAGGAAGGTGTGTTTGTGAATATTGATAGCGAGTTTGACCTGGAGAATATTGTTACCGCAGCAAGAGTGGTAGGGAAGAAGATTCGAGTTTTGCTTAGAATAAATCCGGATGTAGACCCTCAGGTAATATGCTGTTATGTTTGATATGTTGACACATAGGGAGCTCTTAGAAGTTGATTTATTTGCTATCTTGTTTTGTTTGTGCAATCAAAGAATTGAAAATCTTACAACTTCAGTAAATTAGAGTCAGCAACTTGTGTAATTTCATTTCTGTTTGTTAAAGAAATTCCATGTGCAATATTTGCACGACCATCTTCCTATTTATAACTAATGTTTGTCTATGCTAAATTTTCTTATGTTTGTTTTTCTTAACTTGATGCAAATGAGACCTTATAAATCAATTTTGCCCTCATTTGGTTATGCCAACTCACTCAAAAATTCAAAACTTGCATCTTCGTTTGAATGCAACCATTTTCAAGACAAATGCTCAGTAGTTCTTTTTTTTTTTGCTGAATGCCATTGCTAATTTATGTTTACTAACTTGTTATGATAAGTCCTAGAAGTTGAACTTAGGAAGTGTTTTGCAGCTACTCAATTTGATAACTATACTGATTAATGGATTCTTTATAGTTTAAACTCTGTTTGCTCTGATTTTCACTTACCTAGGATGGGATCGACTTGTTACATCACTCATTTTCGAGCTTATGGTTCATTAAAAAAGTGTGATTACTTGTTTCCAATCACCTATTTCTTTATGTTTAGTATTTACATGAGGGTCAATCCTGACATGGCATCTTATAAACACAATATATAAATATCTTTGGATTTTCAAATAACAAATATAATGGAGAGTCCTACAAATTAAGCTAACTTTCTTGTCAAGTTGTTGGGTTATGTCAACATTATGAAGATGCTTTTCAATGACCTCCACTTTTTTTTTGGAATGCTAATCTTGTATTTTTCGGAAAATCTTTGTACAAGCCAATTTTCTTGAGTGGTAACTAGAACTTTACCTTTTGGTTGAATGATTCAACAGTTTTTTTGGGTCAAACTTGATTTCTTATTTTCTTTCGTTTTTATTAGGTGCATCCTTATGTAGCAACAGGCAACAAGAATTCCAAGTTTGGCATCAGAAATGAGAAGTTGCAATGGTTCCTAGACACTATAAAATCTTATCCAAATGAACTCAAACTTGTTGGGGCTCATTGCCACTTGGGATCAACTATTACTAAAGTAAGTGCACTATGTACTTTTCATTTATCTTTGAAATACCATCATCTCAGTATGGTTCGATGGAATTTGTATTGTGTTAAGCATGTAATTATGATACTGATAATAATTTTGATTATTCTCCAATTTTTGTCTATTTCACCACCTCAACAGCATTATTTTAATTAGTTATTTGTTTCTTGATCAATTATTAATGAAACCTTTTTAACCACTGTTTGTGAAGATATATTAATTTTTCCTTATGTTAAGGAATCCGACGGCTGCAAGAAGTGTAATTTTTTAGAATCATTTCAACCATTCTTCTCTTTGGTTATTTAGAATCACCACTTCCTGCACACCAGCATCATGTTGATTAATTATTTTTTGTATGTAATTTCTTCTTCCTCATTTTATTAAATAAGATATAAATGAATTATTTTTTTTAAGGGGATGCTGGGTGCTAGAAACTTTCTCATTATTAAAAAATAAGGACTTTCAATATAAACGAAGCTAGAGCAATCTTTGCAAGCGCTCAAGTTTTAGATTAATAAATCTCAAGGATGAGTTTGAGCCTCTAAAGAGATAAGTGGTAGAGCTAGAGGGGCTACAAATTAAATAATGAAGAAAGCATGGATGATAGTGAATATGGAATATATAATCCTCTATGCTAGATTTATCCACGCATGCTATACACTTTAGTGGTTAAACACGTTTTTAGATTTTTTTTTTGAAAACTATTTAGTAAGGTTTTAGAATTTGAAATGGAACATTGTTTGAATTTACTGGTTATTTTAAGTTAGTTCAATGATTATAATTTTTACACTAAATTTTTTTTCCTCACCATAGTTATATATATATATATATATATATATATATATATATATAAAGTGAAATTGTTTGTTTTTTATTGACTTGTGTTGCTTGGGTGAAATCCCAAATGACACCTACCGCCATGGATGTTGGGCACTTTACCTCTTAGCGCTTTTCATGTAATTCGGACAAGGTACAAAACACTTTTCATATCATTTGAACGAGATGCATGTAATCATCTTCTATGGATGATTTGAAAGTGAGCAACATGCAATATGTGCTTAAAATGATTATGGGAGCTACTTCTCATGACACCAATGTTGCTTTTTATAGATGGCTTGAAAATGAGAAATAAGTAGTGCATCCATAATATCAATTGAAGCTCACCTTAAATGAGATTCCGTGATCAATTGATGGACGTGATGCCCCTTAAATCTACATAGGTTGGATCGGACAAAGGAAAGTTAATTTTAATAGGACCTCAAGTTGACAGCAATTTGAAGTTGGTGAAAATAATGGTTATCTTACCATAGCGTCGTTCTTAACTTCTTGATGAAGTTTGCTCAGGGCACTGTTGCATGGAACAACTTAGCATTACCTGACCCTTAGTTTTGTTTGTTCGGGTTTTATGCATTTTTCTTCGCTTCACAATGAATCAAAATAATTTTTATCCTTGTAGCAGTTCATCGTTTCATGCAATTATTTTTTAGCATTTTCACTCTTTCGTTCATGTGTATTTTGAGAGTATGATTGCTTTTTTTTCCCCTCTAACATTATCCATCTTCGCCATGATGGGAATCATGAATTTTTGATCCAATTGAGGATTTTGATTTCCTTCATCATTTATGCAACTTGTCCTGATCGCTCATAATCTTTGACCGCTCTCTCTTAATTGAAATCCATAAGCTAATTTGCTAGGATAGGATTGAGGTCATTTTTGATCTATCACTCCACGTAATTTCTCTATTTTGTAAAATATATTCTACAACGCTTTGGATTTGAAAGAGGATTTGGGCCTTAGCTAACATGCTTTGAAGAGGTAATATAGTTAGAATTTATTTTATTGCTGGCCCAAACCTTCCCCATTTGATCAGGAATCATGCATGATGATTTTAACGAGAGGTTTGAGAAGCTATTCTTGGACTTTGAATCATTGGAGGTGATGATTTCCCTCAAGTTGATGCTGATGCCGAGAAGCTGAAGGTGGACGCAAGAGATTGCGGGTTAAGAACTTTGAGGCCAAGTTGAATTGGTTTGTTGTCACAATACATCTTTGCCCATTGAAATTCACCTTGCTTCACATGGATAACAACAACAACAACATGAAGCCTTTATCCCACTATATGGGGTTAACTACATGAATCATTTTTCTCGATTGTCTTCTATTAAGAGTCAAATTCTCATTTAATTCTAATAAAGAAATGTTACTTCTAATATTTTTCTAACCAGATCTTTGTAGGTCTATCTCTACCTTTTTTAATATAAACCAAATCCAATACATCTACTTTCCTAACCGGGTCATGGGAAGGTCGCCGTTTTAAGGGACCAAACCATTTAAGGTGACTCTCTCTAATCTTATCTTCCACAAGAGCTATTCCAACCTTTTCACGTATATGCTCATTTCATATCCTGTCTCTAAGAGTGAAGCCACTCATTCATCTGAGCATCCTCATCTCTAAAACACTCAACTTAATATTCAACTTCTCTTTTAATGGCTAACATTATGCACCATAAAACATTGCAGGTTTCACCACCATCTTATAGAATTTTCCCATAAGTTTGAGGGAACTTTTCTATCACATAACAAGCCCAATGTATTCCTCCAATTCAACCATTCAACTTGAATTCTACTAATAATATTCCCATTTATTTCACCATCACTTTAAACAATAGATCAAAGGTATCTAAAATGTGTACTTTTATTAATGACTTGATCGCTCAAAGTCACGGTCCCCTCATTAGATCTATTACTACTAAAATTACACTATATATTCGATTTTAGATCTACACAAATGAAAACCTTTAGACTCTAAGGTTGACCTCCATAATTCAAGTCTACCTTCAACTCTCTCTAGTTTTATCAACAAGAAGAATATCATCAACAAAAAACATACACTAGGGACCTAGGGTACAATCGCTTGCAACTGTCTAGTGAGAACATCTATGACTAAAGCAAAAGATATGGGTTTAAATCTAATCCTTGATGTAATCTAACAAAAATAGGAAAATATTGGTCAAATCCCCTTGTCTTTGAACACAAGTAACAACTCTTGCATAAATATCCTTAATTACTTGAATATAAGCATTATTAACCCCTTTCTTTTCTAGAACTCTCCATAGCACTTCTCTTGGAAGTTGGAACTTTATCAAATGCTTTCTCTAAATCAATAAATATCATATGAAGATTCTCCTTATTCTTTCTATACTTCTCCATCAAATCTCTCAATAAATGTATAGGTTCCAGAATAGACCCACCCGGCATGAATCCATATTGATTTTGAGAAATATTAGTATCACGGCGTAATCTATGCTCCATAATTCTCTCCCATTGTTTTAAAGTATGACACATTAACTTAATTCCTATATAATTTGTACAATTTTACATATCACCTTTATTCTTGAAAAAAAAAGAATTAACACACTAGTTCTCCACTTATTTGACATCTTTGTAGTCTTCAAAATAATTTTACAAAGTTGGGGGATTTACATTCATGCCACTTTATTTCATGCTATTTAAATATCTAAGTCCTAAAACTTTAATATTACATGCCTACCACCCATAGAATAAATGTGGGTGCATGGAATGAAATATTAAAATTTATATGGTGGTATGCGTGGTAAGAATGAAATATAGGAGTGATATATTTGATATTAAATTTTTATATGAGTGGTAGGAATGTAATATTAAAGTTTTGAGTGTTAGATATGTAAATAGTATAAAATAAAGTGGTATGTATGTAAATCCTCCTAAAAAGTTTAGCAAGCCTTCCTTCATCTCCTAAGCATTTCCATGCCTCTATTGGAATATCATCAGGTCCAACAGCTTTTCCACACTTAATTTTCTTTAAAACCTCTCTAACTTTAGTTTTAATAATACGCCGATAAAAAATCACTGCAATATGTATTTTCTACAACTCTAAGAGCTTCTTTTTATGGAGGATCTTATGATGTTGGATTAGTAATATGCAATTTTATTAGCAATTTAAATTACCTAATGGCTGGTTAGATTTCCTTCATTAATTTGTAGGAAGCTTTAAATATTGTGTTGACCTTATCAAAATCATCATTATCCTACTCATTATCATGGTCATCGGCTTTTCCTCCCCTATTTGGACGGCTTCTTTCTTTGCCAGTCATTTCTGCTGAATATTAGATAATCATCTTTAATGTCTTATGCAGATCCTTCATGGCCATTATTTACTGTCAAGATTCTTTATATGGATGACTAGCTGCTGTTTTACCAAGATATTATGCCTTGTTTTATATGGGTGACTATCTGCTAATCTGATAAGATACTATTAGTCTTCTATCCATTTTTACAGTGCTTGCATATAGTGAACCTTTTGTCATCGCAAGAAATTTTTTATTTAACATTCTTTTTAGAAAATATCCGAAATTCCACGTTTTGCTTAAATTGCTGTTAAATTACAACAAGAGACAGGACGAGAAGTGGCTCTTTAAAAACTCAGCTGATTCCCTAAGGCTTACTGTAAATTCTCATTTAGAAATTGAAGTTGAATCTTTGCTATTCATGAATATATTGTTGATTTCTTTTTTCCTATTTTTTCATAGGTTGATATATTCAGAGATGCTGCTATCCTGATGGTCAATTACATTGATGAAATTCGATCTCAAGGTTTTGAAGTCGAATTCTTAAACATTGGAGGTGGTTTAGGTATAGATTACTATCATGCAGGTGCCATTCTTCCAACACCATTGGATCTCATCAACACTGTAAGAACCGCTTCTGCTTCTTGTCTTTACCATGATTTCCTAATATTTTATGCGGATGTATTTTTTAAAGTTAAAGAACGCAGAAAAAATTTATTGTAAATTGATTACTCCCCTTAATGTATTATTAAAGAATATGATAAAATTTAGCAGATACGAATTGCGAGGTCTTACTAGTTAAGAAAGTTGATGAAATTTACTCAAGGGATATTTTAATCGATGTGCTTTTTTAAATGATGCTTGACTTTTCAAAACCATCGACTTTACATACCAGACCTTGCAATTGAGGTGCAATGGCAATGTTGGCTCCTTATAATAATAAAGTTGGCTAAATTATGCTTGTGCATTTCCTAGTTTGAGGTAATTTTCTATGAAATTTCTAAAATTTTTCCTGAGGTTGAAAGAGATTGGAATAGCATCAAGATATCTTTTAAGGGGATTTCATGTAAGGTCATTTAGGGACTATTTGTTTAGCTAAAAAGGAACGGAGAGTAATGGTGTAAAATTTATTGTGTAAAACCTGATGACGATAGTGAGGTGTTAGGTAAATAACAACCAGTAATGGATGGCGACACCAAAGGCGGTGTGGGCATGGTGGCCGCCGACGAAATTGACGGAGGGTGGCCGACGGTTGTCGTGGGTGTTGGCTTGAGGCAGGTGACTATCAACTAAAGAGGGCGGCAGAGAGAAATGGCTTGCGACTAATGATGTGTGGCGTTGGAGGGCAATGTTGGTGGTAGTGGCCATTGATACTTCACACAAGTGTAATATTTGGAATTCTCTCAAATTGAGTGAATTTCAATAAGATTAAATGAACCAGACAGGGAATTTTAAATGTATTGCAATTTTACTCCAAATTTGCTTTTCTTCCAACCAAACAACAAAAATTTCAAAAGATGTGCATTTGGTAAACTTTATATTAGTTTTACTAGGAACCCATTTGTTTCCTTTATTTTTGTTCTTTTTTAATCTAGTCATTTTTAACAGCATATTTGTTACGGCATCACAAATTAGCTTGATCGGGCACGAATCTCAAGGCAAAAGCTAGTTGGAAACTTCAAAAATTAATTCCGGGAGCACCCGAACTCCGATTCCAGCGAGTGTTGACCTCTCTTTTGACCAAACACTCAAAGGGTCTAAATAGGTTAGGTTGACCAAGTCAAACTTTGACTTGGTCAACCCAAGCCTTAATGGGTCATATTGACCCATTAAGCCCATTTAGAGCCCAATTTGAATTCAAATCAATCCATGGCTCAATCCTTTGATCTCATTGACCTAATTAACTTATTTGACCAAGTCAAATGTTGACTTGGTCAAATCAAGTCATTAATAGGTCATTATCACCTATTTAGAGCCAATTTAATGCCCATTCAATGCTCTAATTAACTCCCTTCGTTTTGAATTCAAAACCACGGCCTAATCTGATTAATTTCCCTCCTATTTGATGTTAGCTTAAATCCCCACTGTTGATGATAGGGTTAGGCTCTTTAAATACAAAAAATTTACCCTTTTTTTTGGACTTTTTGGCTCTTTCTCCCGATCCAAGCCCCCAAACCCTCTGAGATTTCGTGTGAGCACTCTTGGAGAGTTTCACCATCTTCCCCGACCAGATCCCAGCGTCCTAGGCCCGCCGGCGGCGAGAACTCCGGCGAAATCGAGCCCCACCTCCCTTCCGGGCTTATTTCCGCTTGATCCAAGGAGAACCAGGGTTTGACGTCAACTAGAGAAATACTCCTGCAGTTTCAACGAATCCAACGAGTCCAATAACGCGAAAATCCGACGGTTAGATCTCTCAAAAACCCTTAGAATAGGTCACATAGTTTCGGGTTAAATAGCTTTTCGAAAAGCTGATTATTTTCCAAACGGATTTTTCCCCATGATTTATGTTCATGTATAGGACTTGTGTTTAAAATTTCGCGAAGTTTCGTGGAGCATTTTGAGAGAACGAGGCATTTTTCTATTCTAGGGTTTTAGTTCGGTTCTTTGAACTGCACGGCTGTAATCTTGCCGTTCAGTGTTTGAACCGAACAGCGGATCCTACCCTCTGCCTATGTGGATAAGTGTCTCAATCATTGGCATGAACAGCGGGTCCAATCCCGTCGCGCCAAGTGTCGCATGCTGAATATTCTGAATTTGAAATTGATTTTTAAATAATTTTAAACTACTTTTCTTTGTAAAATCATAATAAATTCAATTTTTACCCAAAAAATACGTATAATACCTCGTTTTGCTCGTCTTCTCGGCCCCTTTAATTTAAAACAATTTTCATTTAAAAATAATTATTATATTTTGAATTATTTTAAAAATAGTAAAATTCCTAATTTTCTTATTATTTAAATTGTTTTCTTTTTGTATAGTTATTATTATAATATTATTTTAATTATAATTATTTATAATAATCATTATTTCAAACTTTTGTTACTATTATTTTAATTATTATTAATATTATTATTATTATTATCTTTTATTATTACTTTAAAAGAAACTATTTTCATTATTATAATTATTGTTAATATCGTTATTATTATTATATTTTAAAAATATTTTGAAATTTCAGAAGTTTTGATTATTTTAATTTAATTCTTACTTTATAATTATTTTTTTCATAAAGATACTATTTTTTTAAAACTTTTTTTATTAGCTTTTATTGCGTTTTAAACTTCCAAAAATTATAACTTTCTCGTTTTAAATCCGTCTTCGACGCACAATACCTTGTTTTGATCGTATTTGAATTCTGTATGATTTGGGATCATCCTTGTTTCAAAATATTAGGTATATCTGTAATTATTTTGAAAACAGCAAACCCACTATTTTAAAAATACCCTATTATTATATTTAAACTTGTAAAATTCATATCTTTTTCGTTTCAAATCGGATTTTGACGTATAACCCCTTGAATTTTTCAGAAAAATGTGTACTTTCATATAAAAATAGTTTCATGCAACAATTTTACTATTCTTAGCAGATTTCTATTTTACCCTATGGTTTGATTATTTTAATATTATTTAAATTAACTATTATACTAATTATTTTTAAACTACAAATTATTTTCAAATTATTTTGAAACCTCGATCGAGTGGCCAGTGAATCTCTCCTATACCTATGCTAGATACAAATATGATCTATTTTAAATTATTGTATTTTACAAAATCTACATAAATATGTATTTATAAAGTATTTTAAAATTACTTTGAAACTACTATTATTTTAAATCCTAATTTTTGAGAGATTCACTTTCATGAAAATTTAAACATAGCTTCTATGCATGAAGAGCAAATCATGGGGGAGTGGATTAGTGGATTGTTGAGTTCCAATCATTCACTAACCCCGTCATTAGTTTTAGAAGATCTCGGGGCCTGACCTAAAATGTATTTATTGTAATTTTTAGAAGATCTCGGGGCCTTATTTAGCAGATTAACTAGGGTTGGTTAATTAAGGGGTCTAAAGACTCCTAAAAATTCCTAGAAAATTCTGAGATGTCACTAAGTTTAAGTTTTGAAGTTTTCATGTCAATCCGGGGTCTATCCTATCCCCTAGAAAACTTCTAAGTTCGCTAGACGAGTCCTTAATTTTTGTCCTTAACGTGTCATTACGTTATATGGGTTTGAATGGAGTTTTTGTCCTCAAGGTAATAATGCATGGAAACATATAAAAGCAGTAAACACACAATGTGCTTAAATCTAGGAGAGCCTAAACTAAGTGCTCGTGGTGCAACCTACACATGCAATCTACGACGAACAAAAAGTAAATAAAACTTATGACGGAGTTAGTGAATGATTGGTACTCAACTATCCACTAATCCACTCCCCCATGATTTGCTCTTCATGCATAGAAGCTATATTTAAAATTTCATGGAAGTGAATCTCTCAAAAATTAGGATTTAAAATAATAATAGTTTCAAAGTAATTTTAAAATACTTTATAAATACATATTTATGTATATTTTGGAAAATACAATAATTTAAAATATATCATATTTGTATATACATAGGTATAAGAGAGATTCATTGGCCACTCGATCGAGGTTTCAAAATAGTTTGAAAATAATTTGTAGTTTAAAAATAATTAGTATAATAGTTAATTTAAATAATATTAAAAGAATCAAACCATAGGGTAAAACATAAATCTGTCAAGAATAGTAAAATTGCTGCATGAAACTATTTTTATATGAAAGTACACATTTTTCTGAAAAATTCAAGGGGTTATACGTCAAAATCCGATTTGAAACGGAAAATATATGAATTTTACAAGTTTAAATATAATAATAGGGTATTTTTAAAATAGTGGGTTTGATGTTTTCAAAATAATTACAGATATACCTAATATTTTGAAATAAGGATGATCCCAAATAATGAAGAATTCAAATACGATCAAAACAAGGTATTGTGCATCGAAGACGAATTTAAAACGAGAAAGTTATGATTTTTGGAAGTTTAAAACGCAATAAAAGATAATAAAAAAATGTTTTAAAATAATAATATCTTTATGAAAAAAATAATTATAAAGTAAGAATTAAATTAAAATAATCAAAACTTTTGAAATTTCAAAAAAAATTTAAAATATAATAATAATAATAATAATGGTAATAATAATAATAACGATATTAATAATAATTATAATAATGAAAATAGTTTCTTTTAAAGTAATAATAAAAGATAATAATAATAATAATAATTAAAATAACAATAATAAAAGATTGAAATAATGATTATTATAAATAATTATAATTAAAATAATAGTATAATAATAACTATACAAAAAGAAAATAATTTAAATAATAAGAAAATTAGGAATTTTATTGTTTTTAAAATAATTCAAAATATAATAATTATTTTTAAATAAAAATAGTTTTAAATTTATAGGGGTCGAGAAAACGAGAAAAACAAGGTATTATACGTGTTTTTTGGGTAAAAATTGAATTTATTATGATTTTAAAAAGAAAAGTAGTTTAAAAACTATTTAAAAATTAATTTCAAATTCAGAATATTCAGCATGCGACACTTGGCGCGACGGGATTGGACCCGCTGTTCACGCCAATGATTGACCCACTTATCCACATAGGCAGAGGGTAGGATCCGCTGTTCGGTCCAAACACCGAATTACAAGATTACAGCCGTTGATCTTCAAAGAAGCGAACCAAAACCCTAGAATAGAAAAATGCCTCGTTCTCTCAAAATACTCGACGAAACTTCACGAAATTTTAAACACAAGTCCTATACATGAACAGAAATCATGGGGAAAAATCCGTTTGGAAAATAATCAGCTTTTCGAAAAGCTATTTAACCCGAAACTATGTGACCTATTCTAAGAGGTTTTGAGAGATCTAACCGTCGGATTTTTGCGTTCTTGGGCTCGTTGGATTTCGTTGAAACTGCAGGAGTATTTCTCTAGTTGACGTCAAACCCTGGTTCTCCTTGGATCGAGCGGAAATCAGCCCGGAAGGGACGTGGGGCTCGGTTTCGCCGGAGTTCTTGCCGCCGGTGGGCCTAGGACGCCGGGATCTGGTCGGGGAAGATGGGGAAACTCTCCAAGAGTGCTCACACGAAATCTCAGAGGGTTTGGGGGCTTGGATCGGGAGAAAGAGCCAAAAAGTCCAAAAAAAAGGTAAATTTTTGGTATTTAAAGAGCCTAACCCTATCATCAACGGTGGGGATTTAATCTAACATCAAATAGGAGGGAAATTAATCAAATTAGACCGTGGTTTTGAATTCAAAATGAAGGGAGTTAATTAGAGCATTGAATGAGCATTAAATTTGCTCTAAATAGGTGATAATGACCTATTAATGACTTGATTTGACCAAGTCAACATTTGACTTGGTCAAATCAGTCAATTAGGTCAATGAGATCAAAAGATTGAGCCACAAAAAGGGTTGGATTGATTTGAATTCAAATTGGGCTCTAAGTGGGTTTAATGGGTCAATATGACCCATTAAGGCTTGGGTTGACCAAGTCAAAGTTTGACTTGGTCAACCTAGCCTATTTAGACCCTTTGAGTGTTTGTTCAAAAGAGAGGTCAACAGCGAGCTTATAGTCAAACTGAACGTCTCGGAAATACGAACCCAACGACACCAAGATCAACCCAATCCGAGCCCAAATGAGTACGAATCAATTACCCGAAGCGCTGTTGGAAGGTTCAAACCGCAATTTGAGTTACCAAACGGTCTCCGATTTTAACGAGCTTATACTCGAATCGAGCGGCTCGACGAGACGAATCCAACAAGCCCAAGATCGCCGAATTCCGACATCATTAAGGCCTCTAAATGTCCAACGAACGGTGCACGATCGAAGATATCTGCCGTCCATTCAAACTACTCCCTATTCGCCCATGATCTCACACCTATTTACGAGCTATGCCACTCCAGAAAAACTATAAGTAGAGCCCTCATTCTACACAAAGGGGAGGGAAGTGAAGAGAGAGAAGAAGAAGGAAAGAAGAAGAAAAAGAGGAAAGGGAGAATCCTCTCCTCCTGACCACCGTCGGAGTTCGTCCTGCCGCCCGAACACGCCGGGATTCTGCGTGATATTCGGGAGAATGCAGAAATTCTGCCTAACTTCCACGTGATGCTGAAATTCTTCCCAATTGGCAACAGAGTTCCCTCCTGACGTCGAAACTCCGCCCAAGTGAACCCGGAGTTCTCCTTTGCCACCAACAGACGTCGGACTTCTACCCGACGTCGGACCTTCACTCTTTCGCCAAGTTTCTACCTGACGCCGGACTTTTACCGGTTATCGGACTTCGCTGGACGTCTACGCGAAGATGGATTTCTTTACATTGTTGGACTTCTACCTGACGCTGTCCTTCTGATCTTCGTCGTCAGACTACAGTCTTTCCGACCTCAGTCGCCCGCCGACTACGGTCCTCCTGACTTATGTCGCCCACCGAATACAGTTCTTTCGACCTTTGTCGCCCGCCAACTACGGTCCTCCTGACTTATGTCGCCCGCCGACTACAGTCTTTCCAACCTCTGTCGCCCGCCGACTACAGTCCTCCTGACTTACGTTGCCCACCGACTACAAGCCCTCCGACCTCCGTCGCCCGCCGACTACGGTCCTCCCGACCAAACGAACATGTCAATAGTGATTCTTTGTATTCATATCATGTAATGTACTCTATAAAATGTACATCAAGCTAAGGCCTTCTCCCAAGGAAGGGCCTCATTTGTAATCGACTGCAATACTAGTGGAATTATTCAAACTGGGCTAGGCCCCGTGTTTTTTCCCCCTCTTCAGGGGATTTCCACATAAAAATCTTGGTGTCTCATAAATGCTAGACCCTCTCTTTTATCTGATTGAGTGCCAGATTTTCGTACAACGCTAAGACGATAAACTTTATATTTCTCTACCGCCGCGAATACTCTTGGACGCAACAATATTATTATCAGAAAATTTGTTTGTTTATTAGTGATCATATTGAATTTTTTATGTTTTTTTTTGCCCACCGGCATCTAATTATTAGAAAACTATTTTTAGTTTTTATGACACTAATAAGTGACGATGAGGAAGTCACGATCAAGCACTTTTAGACAATAACTATATTGTGTGAGATTGTGAGGGGGGGAATTGGAACTGTTTATTTGCAGTAAGATCATATGCCATACATGAAGGAGGAAGGTAACAGGTAATTTTGGTATTAGTATATTTTATAGAATTTGAAAATTTAGTTTGATGGGACAAAAAAGAATAAAAGTTTTTCAAAGGATTTTTAAAAGTAACGAAGGTCAAGAATTTTCTCTAAAAACTTTTGCAAGTGAGAGTCTACTGCATGCAGTTACTTAGAAATAGTCTTTAAGGGAACTATGAGTAAGATTAGTGATTTCTATTCCTGATTTGAGGCCACTGAAAATGATTTAAAAATATGTGATATGTAAACGACGGTTACGCTTTTTTTATTGTTTGTTTGCATGTGAATATCGACTTGATTTGATGCACAAAACGTTGCTGATGGAGTTGCGGAGCTTCTATTTTCTTGACTTTGTATATAATTTTTGACATGCTTTGATAATGCAAATCATAGCTAATCACGAATGAGGTATTGCATCATGATCTACAGAAAAAAAATGTTGCTTGATGTTAACCTTTTTTGCAAATCTCTTTTTGTACAATGTGTACGAGGAAATGCTACTATGAGTGATAATTTGAATCTATTTAGGATGGAAGCTACATTTCTGTTATTTATGCGTATGTATCACATTTTTTTTAATGATTCCTTCAGGTGCGTGAGCTAGTTCATTCTCGTGATTTGAATCTTATTATTGAACCTGGAAGGTCACTCATTGCCAATACTTGCTGTTTTGTTAATCGAGTAACTGGAGTTAAGACAAATGGTACAAAAAATTTTGTAGTTATTGATGGCAGCATGGCAGAGCTCATACGTCCGAGTCTGTATGGAGCATACCAGGTATGATTATTATACGTAAAAATTGCTTATTTTAAAATGTTGGCTACTTGTTTGTAGTGTTTGTTATATAAGTGTGTACCATGTGATTTTTCCTAGAGATAGGGATGGGTGAAGTTATATTTATGTTTGTGCTTGTTTCATTAGCAAATTGCCTCTAGGAAGCTATCATTGGCCCCCCTATATGCAGGAGCAGACGTTTTGATCCATGAATATATATTGAAGATTAAAGAGAATGGACATTGTTGTAGAGTCTGGTTAGTTTTTTGCTAGCTTTTTACGTGTGGAATTTTAGGTGTCGAATAGCTACCACCTCTTATATGGCAGAATTGCTAGATGATGCTGATATGGAAGTTTGAAGGCTCAATCATTAAGGGAAATCTGCACCAATCAATCAAGGAAAACCAGCACAAAATTACGGCATTCTAACCTAAGCCAATTTGGTAGCTAGGGGCGGTTTGAAAAGTTATGATTGCCGCCCGTATGCGCTTGGGATTGCCGCTCATATTTTATTTGTTTTAATTGTGCTGGTACTTTTCAGTAGTAGGAGATTTATTCTTTTTATTTCACAATAATTGCTTTCTGAAATGAAAATTTTCTCTCATTGTTTGAGTGAAGAAGCGATTAACTAGTTTTTTTTTTTTTTTTTTTTTCTGCAGCACATTGAGCTTGTTTCTCCGCCTTCTCCTGATGCTAAGATTTCTACTTTTGATGTTGTGGGACCTGTATGTGAGTCTGCAGATTTCTTAGGAAAGGACAGAGAACTTCATACACCAGCTAAGGTACGATTCATCTTGTTTTTCTTGTGTAGTTAGGCCTTATTTCTCTTTTACACTATGCCAACAGAACTTGGAAATCACAGGGAGCTGGATTGGTCGTTCATGATGCCGGTGCATATTGTATGAGCATGGCTTCAACTTACAACTTGAAAATGAGGCCTCCGGAATATTGGGTAAGAATTTGTTTTATTTTAACTCTCTTTTTTCCTTTTTTTTTTAACTTTTGGTTTCATCTTTTTAATCTAACAATCAAATCAAATTCCATTAAAAAATCTTTATGAAAATAGTCATTTTGTCAAACAAAATCACAAAAGCTACAATCTTCTTCTTTGATAACATAGCAGACATCACATTGCTATTGCATAATTGAATCTGAATCTTTCTTCTCTTTATTTTTCTCTTCCTTTTGATGAACCAGTACTTACAAAAATGGCCGATTTTCTAAAATTTACATTTTTTGAATGATTTCAACTCGATTGACATTGCCGGTTATTATAACTATACCTTTGATAAATCAATAATAAACTGAACTTATACCTTTTACTTGTGAACCCAATTTTATCACCTTCTTCATGCATTTTGAACAGAACATTTGAACGCTAACAACAGTTTTCTCATAGAAAGAGATATAATGAATAACTAAAAATCAAAGTTGACTTGAAATTATAAACGCATAACAAACAGTTGGAAATATTGATATTAAGCAAATAAGAAACACAATTAATTAGCTAATCCTTTCAATCTATTGCCAACTAAAGGTGGAAATGAGACGAGTCGAGTCGAGTAGACGAGTAGTGGTCTTATCGAGCTTGGCTCGTCAGTCAGACTGTCGGATCGAACTCGGCTCACTTACACCCCTATTACCAACTAACTTTTCTCTTTTTTTTTTTTTTCTTTTGGATACATGAGTGATCATTATTACAGTTCTTTTCCGATCTGCTGCAATACTGTTGCTATCTCTTCTACAAATGTTTCTCAACTTATTTACAGTATTCTGTTGATGTTAAACGTTGCAGGTTGACAATGGATCTTTAGTAAAGATTAGGCATGGTGAGACCTTCGATGACTTCATAAAGTTCTTTGATGGCCTGTAGTCTATATATATCTTCATCATCAAGATAAAATTACTGCTACAATGGGCAGAGGATTGCAAGGATGATGCTTTAGTAGTCTGTTATTTCAGAAAAAAATTGAACTGATTATTTGGCCATTTTTATGTTTGAATAGTTATTGTAGATCAATCATCTTAAATTTCAGTAGAACTTCTTACATCTCATTTGATATATTCTCAAAAATTATCTTGATCGGGCACGAATCTCGATGCAAAACCCAATCCGGAAACTTCAGAAATTAAATCCGGGTACACCCGAACTCCGATTTCAGCAAGCTTATAGTCAAACTGAGCGTCTTGGAAATACGAATCCAACGAAACCAAATTCAACTCGATCCGAGCCCAAATGAGTCTAAATCGAAGACTCGAAGTGCTGTTGGAAGGTTCGAATCATAATTTGAGTTACCAAACGGTCTTTTGATTTTAACGAGCTTATACTCGAATCGAACGGCTCGACGAGATGAATCCAACGAGCCCAAGATCGCCAAATTCCGACATCCCTAAGGCTTTCAAATGTCCAACGAACGGTGCATGATTGTAGGATTCGATATCGGCCGTCCATTCAACCACTCCTTATTCGCCCATGATCTCACACATATTTACAAGCTATGCCACTCTAGAAAAATTATAAATAGAGCCATCATTCTTCATAAGGGAGGATCCATGCAAGAGAAGAAGAAGAAGAGAAGGAGAAGGAAGAAGCTCATCCTCGACCACCGATGAAACTTCGTCGGACCACCGTCGGAGCGTCGCCGGACCACTGCCGGAACCTCGCCGGACCACTGCCGGAGCCTCGCCGGACAACTGCCAGAGCTTCGCTGGATCACCACCAAAGGCCCTCACCTTCGCCAGAGGCCCTCACATTCGCCAGAGGCCCTCGCCTTCACCAGAAGCCCTCGCCTTCGCCAGATCATCATCAAAGGCCCGAAGTTCTGCCAGACCATCACCTGACACCCAGACTTCAATTGACAAGCTATTATTTGTAACCTGATCGCCCTCGGAGGCGAGTCAGCCCTTTGTAACCGACTCAAATTCTAGTGGAATCATTTTCAACTAGGCTAGGCCTCGTGGTTTTTCCCCTTTCAAGGGTTTTCCACATAAAAAATCTTGTGTTCTCTCTGTGTGTGTTGGATATCCGTGCAAAGCTAAGACATATAGTTAAAACTCTATCGCCGCTCATATTCAAGCCTACAACATCATTAAATGATATATTAGTGTTAAAACTTAATGTTTAAGTACTAATTTTTTTTACTGAAATGTGTTAATCAAAGATTGCATGTATGAGGAAGGCTCATATTAGGGGTGTCAATTTTTGACACGACCTCATGTAGTCTTTCTAATGAGGACATTGTGCTTTTTTATTGATGTATTTTTCCAAATTGTTGTTGATATTGTGGACAAAAAACTCCATCATAATTGTGATGGTATCCTATGTTGTCCATCATAATTGTGACTTTAAATTCCTCTATCCTACATATACGATCCTCTAAGATGAGGCCAGGGGGCTTGATCACCAATATTTTATTGTTTTTGGTTGAGGGATTGTTTATCGGCCATTGAAGAGATATGTTGGGAATGTTTCTCACAGATGATGACAAACTGTTGCAGGCAGAAAAATTCACGATGATAGAGTAGAAAGATTTTTTTTGTGGACAAAAATCTAGCGCACAACTAAGTAATTAAAATGATTAAAAAAATTTACGTGGAAAATCCTATAAAAGGGAAAAATCAAGGAATCTTGTCCAATTGAAGTGATTTCACTAATGTTTAAGTAGATTACATTAGTTGAATCATCCCTTAATTCAAGGACAATATGAATACAATATGTTAAAGATCTTTTCAAACTTTGGATGGGTATTCTTGAGCTCGAATGAATGATAGATGTTGGAAATTAGGTGTCAATAATTAGGAGAATGTTTACCAGAGGTCTGACGATGGTTGAAGATTTGACGATGCCCATAAAATGGTAGAAGTCCAACGATGGTCGGTAGTTGGGACGAGGTCAGGTAGCGGTCAACAAATAGGCAGAAGTTCAACGATGCTCGATGCTCATGAAGAAATCCGACAGTGGTCGGTGATAAGAGAGCTTCCGATTTTTTTCTTTATTCTTCCTCCTTTCATGTGAAGAATAAGAGTCTATTTATAAATTTTTGAGAGTGACATGACTTATAAATATGAAGAAGATAAAGAGTATGTTGGAGTGTTCTAGCAGATGGTTGATAATGATTCCCTTGTTCATAACACATTTATCAAGCATTTTTGTGTGTTAATGACGTTAGAATTAAATGATATTGGGCTTGTTGGATTTGTCTCGTTGAGATGCTCAATTCAACTATAAGCATGTCAGATTAGATGATCATTTGATCATCCAATTAATGCATTAAATTTTTCAAGCTTCAGACCCTTGATTTGGCCTATTTGGGCACTAATTGGACTGGTTTTGGCATCCTTAGATTCGTCTCGTCTAGATGCAATTTGAATATAAGCTTGCTGAAATTGGAGTTTGGATGGTCCCCATTTTAATTTTTGAAACCTTAATCTCATATTTGCATCAATATTCATGCCCAACCAAGTCGAATTTTTGATGAAATATCAATATTATCAGTAATAAGTTTACCACAATTTAATATAAAACAAAAAATACTAGAAAATAATAAATTATTAAAATATAAATCATAAAATATACATATCATCAAATTAGTAGGTTTGAACTACTTTATAAAATAGCAAATTATTACCATATTTTCATATGAAACATCGTCACCTTAGTGAAAAACCTAAATTAAGATTTAATCAATTCAGTGGTGGAAAAGGACATTTTACCTTCCATTGAAGGAGCATTAAAGAATAAAGATGCTCATTAAAATCCACCTCCACCAGACAGATAAATGCACCTTCCAGCATTTACTCTTTCATCCCCTTCATATTTTTCTTAGAAGAAAATGTTATTAATTTCATATTTAAGGCTTTTATCAGTCGGAGTCAAATATTTCTCAAAGAATACAAATTCGATTGAATCATATGATATTTTTTTCTTAGAATTTAGTTTTATTCAAAGCTATCGCACTCTCATTTTCATATTGTTTTTGTAAAGGTATGCAGTGACTTAAACAGTGAAAAGGAATAATTTTCTGATGCTTTTTGACATTAAAATTGTCAAATAAAAAAAAAAAGTCAAGATATATTTTAATTTAAATTTGATTATAATAATTATATTATCATTAAATTTAATTTAAATTACTATAATAAAAAAATAGTTGATTAGTTATGTAATTGCACTAATTTTTAAATAAATCTAATAATTAAAATTATCATAATTAAATTTGCATAAAAAATTTCAGTAAGTTTAATTTAGAAAAGTAATTTAGGCTTTATTTTGGACAAATTTATCACTGCTTTCTAAAAAATATATACTAAAAAATTAATTTAGAAAGCAGTAAGAAAGCTATTCAAAATGAAGTCTAAATCAGGATGTAAAGATCCAATTTTTTAGCATGAAGAATTTTAAATTCATTGAATTTATTTTAATATTAATACAATATAAAACTTGATTCATGATCTCTAACTAAATTTAATTTATTTAAAATTTGCATCAGAATATTTAATAAAAATCTTTCATGATGTTTATATATACGGAGAGAAGATATGTTTAAGTGATTGATTGCTCAGTTTAGCATTTTTTTTTGCTTTTATTGTAACATCAAATCATGCCCAACAAATTCCATTAAAAAAAATCAAAGAAAATAGCTATTTGTCATACAAAATGTAGCTCTCATCACCATATCCTTAAAAAGATGAAAGCCACACCATTACTGCATGCAGAATGAATACACTGTAACATCAAAAAACAAGAATTGAATAAGAAAATGTGTTCAATGATTAAGTGAAAATGATGTCAAGATCTTGCAAAATAAAATAACACAAAGTAAGCTGAAACCATTTTTCTGTGTTCTTCCACCTCATAGAATATTACAGAACCTGTAATCTTCTTCCCTAACATACCAGACATCACATTTCTGGCAAGTTTTTGGAACTAGTGAACTTGAATCTTTCTTCTCTTCCTTTTTCTCCTCCTTTTGCGGTCCAATGCTTACAAAACTGGCTGATTTTCTAAATTTTTGTATTTTTCGAATGATTTTGACTGGATCGGCGTCGCCGGTTATGGTTACTAAACCCTTGGATGAATCAAGAACAACTGAGCTTATACCTTCCACACCTGCAACCAATTTCATCACCTTCTTCATGCATTTTGAACAAAGCATTTGAACAGAAACTACAATTTTCTGCAAATGAGTATATAAGATGTCAGAAAATAGAATCAGGATAAATGAGAATGGAAGAAGAAGGAATGTTGCAGGTAGAAGAAAAGAGTATAGACCTTTGACATTATTTTGATTGTGCTGGAAGAGAACATATGGGAGTAGGAAGAAGATGATATATGGTGCTTATAAAGCAACTTGTAGAAAGCTATCCAATTATTTATTTGTTTGTGTAATCATGGCTGGATTGTTTCCATGTCTCAATGGAGGTAAATACTGTAATGAGGTAACATGATTTTGATGAAGATCCACATAAAGATGAAAGCAAGAGAGAATAATCCACATTCACCAACCAATTTAGCTTCTTTTCAACAACCAACATGTTCTATTCCTCATGAAAAGTAGTTATGAGGGATAGATTAAGGTTTCGTTTTTGACGACTTTCTTATTGCTTCTTAAAGTAGCTTTCTCGTACAAAAATTATAATTTTTATACGAAAAAACTACTTTAAGAAACAGTAAGAAAACTGTTCCAAACGAAACTTACATTCAAGAAAGACTTGCATGCATATGGTATCATTCTATTTCTTACTATATACAAAATCCAACCATGCATTCAACCAATTTCTTACCAACTATTTTAAATGCAGCATGTGATGTTAACAGTTGTCATTTTCCTTGAAGAAGCATATTGTCCCTCAGTGCTATAAAGTTCAAGTCTTGTTTGGTGACATGAATTTAAAATTTATATTTTGAGACATGATAAATTTGGTTGATTTCATCCAATAAATTGATGAATACAGTTAGAAATTATTAAAAATAATTTTAAAAATTAATGGTTTTATTTTTTTATATATATATTTTTGTTGTGGAAATAAATAATCATTTTAGGAGTTTTTGTGAATAATTATGGAGTCTAAAATGAATAGATAGTAGATAGAAATGAATACCTAAATACATCCAACTTTAAAAGGACATGGTTAATTGTTGTATTTATTTAATTATACATGAATCTTCTGTTAATAGAAGAACTCTTCTAAGGCTTCATTCGGGACATTCTTTTTACTGTTTTCTAAAACAACTTTTTAGTACAAAAATTTCTAATTAATTTTTTTTGTGAATTATTATGGAGTCTAAAATGAATAGATAATAGATAGAAATGGATATCTAAATACATCCAATTTTAAAAGGACGTGGTTAATTGTTGTATTTATTTATACATGAATCTTCTGTTAATATAGGAACTCTTCTAAAGCTTCATTCGGGAAATCCTTTTTACTGTTTTCTAAAACAACTTTTTAGTACAAAAATTTCTAATTAATTTTTTTTTTTGTGCCAGAAAGTTATTTTAGAAAGCAGTAAGAAAACTATCCCAAAAGAAGTATAAAATTGATAAATAGAATCTTCACCTTAAATTGATTAGAAATAATGGAGACAATCTACTCATGACCTATAATCTCACAATCAATTCATTGCTCTAGACAAACCCTTTATTCTAGTTTCAAACTATATAATCCATCATTATTTTGTTTCATTGTATTAGTAATATTACTTAGTAAAATTCTTGAATTCTTAGAGTTTACCAACTTCAAGTCTTCACCAAACAAAAATTATTAATTTGATAGCGATTGGTGGCTGAAGGAGGGATAATTTCTATCATTCAAATGGACAACTAAGACAACTAACAGCCTTTTTCATGTGGTAAGACCACAATAATTACAACAAATTGTATGGCAACTTGTTGGCTTTATGATGTTATATGAAACATGGGGGAAATAGTAAAAAATAACATAATGTGAGATTAATACGATCTTGCTACACTTGTGTATTTAATTCATTGACTTATTTTTAATTGTTATTACGAGGAGCATGGTGGCTAGCTATTTGCCCGTAAAAATTGAGATCATCACTCCTTAAGCTAGCGAGACTCTCTAATTGCTCGTAGGAACATCCAAAATGATTGAATGTAGTTACTGTAAATTAAAACCTGTAATAGATATGCCGATGATGATGGTGACATCGTAATCCATGATTGACATGATGGGACTTTTGGGTTAAACATTGGCTTCATTCATGTAGACATTAAGAGTGTTAAACATAATACATTGGTTTAAGGCTAGCTTGTGACCCATGGTCAGACCTATTTGGGAAGATGAAGCCACCATTGTTTCTAAGGACCATTAACCATATTGGAGGCCATGAGCTTGTTTTTATAACTTTATAGAAGCACTTGATGAGATGGACAATTCTCTTAATTAAGAGGAAGATGACCTTGGTCACCTTCATATTGATTAGAAATATTGACATGTTTTCTTCTAGGATAGGTTGAGTAATGTCATCTCAAGAATGAATTCCTTGAATTCTTTTGAGCCATATATAACATATCAATAATGAGAATCACGATGTAAGAACAATTGAGTAGACTTGTTGAGTGCAACATAATGGTATTTGAGCATGACAATAAATTTGCAAGGCTTATCAACTATATGATGGTCGCATTGCTCATAGAACACTAACATTGCTACTTCTTCTAGGGGAGTCCTACACGATTATGCTAATTGATGACTAGTGTCATTCTTATTTACCAACAAGAAGGACTTGGTGGATTAGTCAAAACTAATAAAGAATAAGCAAAAAGTGTTCCAAGCTAGATATAAGCATTGTGAAAGGATGATGAAGATTGACAACTAACCAAAAAAAAAAAAAAACTCAATAAGAGAGCCTATGCCAAAACTATTAGAAGCTTTATGGTGAACAATGCTATGCATGGGGAGCTTAATTCTAATTGGATGAACATCTAGGCACTGATTCAATGCCACCAAGGGGTCAACATGAAAACAATACAATAAGTAGCTATTCAAAAGGCTAGAGAAGCCAAGATAATATCACTTGTCAAGTTGAAAAGGAAACCTACTTAGCAAAGGAAGGATGTATTACAACTCGCAGCATGGGTCTTTCTTATTGATATGTGACAAAAAACTCCACTTGAATCATTTGATTCCTCTTTACCGACAAAACCTCGTGCTCGGGAGAAGAATAATCTATTTTCTTTTCTCGAGTACGGACTTTTCTGGTCTAATTTTATCTTGTCTTTATCACGAGTTCTTTTCCTTGGTTAAAAATACTTCTTGTTTTGCCCATATTCGCGGGTTCTTCAATTGTCTTTTTCCCTCATAAGGGAAATAAAGTGTATAGGTGGTATACTCTATGTATATGTATCCTAGAGCTCCTTCTAATGACCTATGTATTTTGTTATCATTTCCAATTGGACGATCCATTAATCCAATTGAAGGAGGATTATAAATGGATCAATCTTTTTGATTTACATCACACATTGTGAAGCATAAAAGGAGCGTAACTAGGTGACAACTACCTTTTTACTATAATGATAAGACCATGATTGCTGTAATTGACATTGATTAAATGCATTCATTCATAGCTAAGTCATAGGCATTGAGTTAAGCCTAGTAAAATATAAGTTATCCATCTTATTACAAATGAGAGGTAATACTATAGGAAAAACTAGCATTATCAACAGACTTTTTGGCAGTATTATATCCACCCATGTTTCAGAGTTCAATTACTCAAAACTTCATATTTTTTAATTTTAAAATATGTCCTTTTAATTAATTATGTGAGTTTTATTCTTCATAGTTTTTAATTGTGTTTAGTTTTTTCCACATATTTGAAATCATAGCATAATTATTATATAGATTTTAGTAATATTTATTACTTCATCCGGTTGAATTATGATTGAACCCTAGTCAAATCATGGAATTTTGAATCTCTCTTTTTTCTATTCATTATTCGATCAAATTTTTATAACCTTGTCCATGACAACTACTTTTTATTTATTTATTTTTATTTCTAAACCAACTGTTGTCTTTTTCAGGAGAAGTTATTATGTTCATAATATGAATCTATGAGGATATATGATTGATACATCATAAAAAATTATCTTGATCGGGCACGAATCTCGAGGCAAAATCAAATCGGAACCTTCAAAAATTAAATCCGGGATCACCTGATCTCCGATTTCAGCAAACTTATAGTCAAACCGAGCATCTCAGAAATATGAACTCAACGACACCAAAATCGACTCAATCCAAGCCCAAATGAGTCAAATCAAGCACCCGAAGCGCTATTGGAGAGTTCGAAAATTAATTTGAGTTACCAAACGGTTTCCAAATATGACGTTCTTATAGTCGAATCGAGCGGATCGACGAGACAAATCCAACGAACCCAAGATCGCAGAATTTCAACATCATTAAAAACTTCAAATGTCAGACGAACGGTCCACGATCAAAGGATTCAATATCAGACATCCATCCAACCACTCATTTACCCTTGATATCTCACCTATTTATGGGTCATGCCACTTCAAAAAAATACAAGAAGAATACAAGAATACAAATATTTAAAATACAAGAAGAGAAGAGAAGGAAAAAAAAAAATACAAATCTTTTTCAAGAATACAAGAATATAAATATAAACTCAATGACACCAAAATTGACTCAATCCAAGCCCAAATGAGTCAAATCAAGCACCCGAAGCATTATTGGAGAGTTCGAACCTCAATTTGAGTTACCAAATGGTTTCCAAATATGATGTTCTTATAGTCGATTTGAGTGGATCGACGAGGCAAATCCAACGAACCAAGATAGCAGAATTTCGACATCATTAAGAACTTCAAATGTCAGACGAACGGTCCACGATCAAAGGATTCAATATCAGTCATCCATCCAACCACTCACCATTTATCCATGATATCTCACCTATTTACGGGTCATGCCACTCCAAAAAAATACAAGAAGAATATAAGAATACAAATAGTTAGAATACAAGAAGAGAAGAGAAGAAGAAGATAAGGATAGGAGGGAAGAACTCCTCCTTGACCACTGCCGGAGTTCTGCCCGATGCTCGAGTGACGCCGAAATTCTGTCAGACACCCAAGTGACACCAGAATTCTGCCCGACGCCCAAGGACGCTGGAATTCTGCCCAAGTGACGCCGAAATTCTGTCCGACGCCCAAGTGACTCCAGAATTCTGCCCGACGCCCCAATGACGTAGGAACTCTACCTGATTTCCATGTCATGTCGGAATTCTAAGTGATTATGAATTCAGCTCGAATACACAACTTGTTTGTTATTGGATTTCAATCCGAAAGTGGAGCATTGTAATCTGATCATCACAAATTTTAAGGATGGCTCAGCCTCTTCTACCTCAAACAAACATTAGTGATGGGTGTGGCCCGTGGTTTTTTTCCCTTTATAGTATGTTCCACGTAAAAATCATGATGTCTTTATTTCTCTTCTGTTTGTGTGCAAGATTTCCGTATAACGCTGAGACATAAATTTTCTAATTCTATCGCCGTATATATTCTAGCCCGCAACAATAATAAATATATTAAAATTAAATTATATTTATTGTAAAATATCTCATTTGCCAGCCACTGATTTCATTGCCACTTGCCTATTGCCTATTGGCAGCCACGTCAATTCCAAGGCTTTTAAAACCGGACCGGACCGGCCGGTTACGGGCTGAATAAAAACCGCTTCCGCAGAGAACCGTTCTCGGACCGTTCGAACCGGCGGTTCGACCGCCGAACCGGTGAACCGGAACCGTTTTAATAACCGGCCGGTTCGAGCTGTACCGCTTTTGAGCCATCCGATTTGATCTGATGGCAGGGATGATAGGCGGATAACTCAAAAAAAAAAAAGTTAAAAACCGAGAAACCCTATTTCTTTACAATTTCACGATTCGCCCCCAGACCTCTCTCGCGACTCCTCTATCCCTCCGAGACGCCGTCGGCAGCAGCTGCTGCTGCATTCCGATTTGCGAAGCGACGAAGCCACCGAAGGATTTTTTTGCTTGATTAATATCTCCTCTCCTATCTACACTAAGTTTTTCGAATTCTCCTCATTTCATTCGGTACTGATTTTTTATCTTTGCAAACTGGCTTTTTTTTTATAACTCCAGAAATTTTGATATCTCAAATTATTAACATACCTTTAGCAATGTTTTCAATCAGTTTCAACATACCTTTAGCAATGTTTTCAATAAAAGTTTATAACTCCACATGTTTAGGGTTTTTTTTTTAATCCAAATTTAGGATCTTGTTATTCTAATACATTTTCTGATTTTCATCATTTCATGAGCTATGTTTGATTTTTTAATCAGATTATGTTATACATTTTCTGATCTTGTTATTCTAAAACCAACAGAGCAATTTTGGTCTTTTGGCAAAACAAATTAGAATTTTTATTTTCATGAGCTATGTTTGAATTAGATTTAAATGTTTGAGTTTATTTGACTAACATTTCTCTATTAGATAATAATTTTTCTTCAATTTTTGCTATATATTTATAAATAGTTGTGTCATTATTATAATATTTAAATATAATAAATATTTATTACGTCATCCGGTTCGACCCCGGTTCGACCCCGGTTGAACCATCAAACCTCTAACCCCTCCTTCTTCCGGTTGATTGACCGGTCCGATTTTAAAAGCCTTGGTCAATTCGCTCGCCCATGCCAGCCATTGCTTATATATTTTTTTAAAGCGTGTTATTGCATATAAAATTAAGATTTTGTTTGTGAGTTTTAATATAAAAGTCCCGAAAAGGATAAGTACTGTTTCAACTTTTTAAATTTCTCCGTTGGACATGTGTTGCGTGGGCCCCGCATGCCAGCCTGGATTGTATTTCAAATTTTCATATTAGTAACTTGAACTGGAGCCTCACACACAATCTCCGGTGATCGACTATGGGGGAGACGCGGGAGACGATCGGAGTGATCGGTGGCGGCCAGATGGGCTCAGGCATCGCTCAGCTTGCCGCCATCTCGGGCTTCGACGTATGGCTCCATGACTCCGATTCCGGCGCGCTTCAACGGGCTTCGGAGGGCATCGGCGCCGCCCTCCGGAAACTTGTCTCAAAGGGGAAACTCTCTGAGGTCATTTTTCCTCTTCACCCTTCCTATTTCCACCATTGCGTTTAATCCTTTCTTTCAAGTTGGTTGTCGAATTTGTTGTTGTTTCGTATAACGTGTTGGTATTTAGTATTAGGGTTTCGATTGGGGTTTCTGGTAGTGTGACATTGTTGGCTAGGTTTGGTTTATGGGATTTGCTCCAACGGTTTTGGAGTGCGAGCTTTCCAGTGCTCCGGATTTTATCTTTGTTGCGCGATAAGTTCAACAAACAGCAGTAGCTATTGTGATCCACAATGGATTGATTCGGGTGTCAGTAGCGGGGAGCCTTTTTGCGGTCCCTGTTGAAATACAACTGCTTATCAGCGTGGGAGTTCGGCTTGGCGTTTTTGATGACTGATGAAGGCGGGCTTAGTGTCAAAGAGAAGGTCGTCTTTGCTTCAACAATAGTTTTATGGTCATCCCCGTATGAGCGGAAAGAATTGCATCTCTATGAACTTCAAAATTAATACACTCATAATTTATATAGACAGGAACCAATCAATAGAAGGTCGTCTAATTTGAATCTCATCAGCAAAGCCTTTTATTCGCCATTAAGTAAATTAGAGTTGCCTCGTGGTTAAGAGTAGTTTCATATGTACCAGGCATGCCAAAGAAGAAACCACAAATGATGGATCGATGAATTAGTATAGAGGAATAGTCAGAGTATTACCTCTTGAAAATAAATAGTGAAAATAAAATCAAGCAATTTAATCAAGTACAACAAATGATTTAAAAAGCTTAAATGTGACATGCGTTGACCTTGATCTTAGCTCGCTCATTTGTTGGTTTAATTCAAATTCATTATGGAAAGCTCTACCCTTCTTTGGTCAAATTGGATTTGATTTAGACAAATCCTCTTCATTTTCTCTGCTGATTGGATCTTGATCAAATTTATTTGAACCCCTCAATTTTAGCTAACGACATGATATCCTTGAGCCCCATCGACTTGGTCGTCCTCTTCAGCCCCCCTTGATAACAGCTCAACAATCTAAATTGATTGGCCAGTCCTCCTGATGATTGACTTATATTCCTTTATCGTAGGCTTCTCTTGGGGCCTAGTCCCGCAAGAATTCACCTTCTCGGCATCTCTCAGCATATGGTCGACAACTTGGCGCATTAGATTTTGCAACTTAGTGCCCTGTTAATGGCATGTTCATCCCCTTGGCCTTCTCTCCAGCTCAACATCTCCTTGGCACTATAGAGTTATTTGCTTTCATTCTCGACGCTTCGTCATCTTTGTCTCGGCCTTTCCAAGTTCCCTCTAAGTGTGTATTTTATTCCTCTCTCGAGAAACGCCGACATCGCGCTCACTTTATAGCCTTCTCGACAAGTCGACAATTCCTACTCGGCACATTAACAACTTTCATTCTTGGCAATCACTGATAACTTGACATCTTAGACTCTGGATTTGTTGCCTTGTCAACCTATTTCTCTTTGCCTTGTCATTTCCTTCTCAACTTAGCAAACATCTCCTCCCCCTTGTCAATAGCTTGACAAACTAGAGTTGTTGGCTTGTCATTGTGCTTCATGACGCTTTTGCTGAAATCCTTCTCAGCACCCACCATCCTACCCTTGATGTTAGCTCAACATACAAAGTTGATGACTCAACTTTCATTAGGCGATGTCAAGGCACACCATAACTTGGCATTGGCTCATTGATGATATTGGCTTGCTATTTGACAAGCCTCTTCCCACATAGAATTGATCATTATCTTGAATCATATTCAACGCTAAACTCTCGGGGGTATTCATTTTGTCACCTACCACACATGGAGGCATATAGCACATGTCGTCATCCTATTATGGCTTTATCTTGGACCCATCTTATGTCCTCCCGGTAGTGTAAATGACAAAATATTTTTCTTGCAACTAGTATTCCTCCTTAGGATGTGGCCTTTTGCCTCGAGATATTGTTGGCTTCTTTTGTTAGTTCCCATCTCCTACAAAAGTGTGGTGATGACACCTTCTTTTGAGTTTGATCCAAGACAAATTATTAATGAGTTGTATTTATATATGGAGAAAATGTATTTTTATAATAACAAAGAATATGTTGAAGATTTTATGTGGACTTGAAGTTGTTACTCCATGAAGGCCTCTAAATTTTTTGTTTGATGTGTGGAGCAGATAAAAATATAACATCTTCATGAGCTATAGAAGGTGAAAAGTCAAGAAGATGAAGAGGATGAGTTATATGTATTTATCATCATCTTATATATTCAAATAACTTATTGTATTAAGGTCCCTTCTTATCTTTTCAAAATTATACTTTGTACTTCTAGAAATACCATTGTGATGGAATGAAATGATAAATTGAGTTGATGTTGATTCACTTGCTTTATTAGCAATGCAACATGTGATATATGGAGGACTTGGAGCTCATTTTATTATAATGATATTTCAAATTTCTCCTTCTTACATCATCCATCAATTTGGTATTCAAGCAAACAGTTTTGAGTGCATGATTGCTTGTTAGATGAATTTGGCGTTTCTTCTATTTTTGGACCTTCTTGATGATATTGTTCTTTCTTTCATTTTCTTGTTTTTTAAATCTTTGTTCATTTTCAAATTTCATCTTTTTCTCGTTGCATTTCCTTAGTTTCAAGTTTTCAATTTTTTAATATTTTCTTTTCAAAGAGTTAAGAGCTTGGTGGCTGTTTGTGTTGATCCTTGGTGAGAGTTGAACCTCTTTGAAACACTTGGTGAAAATTTAAATTTTATTATTTTATGGATTGTTTTGAGGGGTTTTCTTGCATCTTAGTTATTTTATTTGTTGCATATTTTCTTCCTTTAGTTTGTTGCATTTGCGAATTTGCTTTCCTGGATTTATACTGTTATATTTGTTTGCTATGTATGTGATTTAAGATTCTTCTCAACATAATAAATGCTTACATTCTAATTGGTGCAGGACAAGTTATATTGTTCTAATATATTTTCTTGATATGAAAAAATATTATTGAAGATTTAGAATGGAGTCTAAATAGCTGTTTTCTATGAAGGATTTTAAATTTTGCCTGAAGAGAAGATGAAACATCATTTTCAGTCCATGAAAGATAGAAGACGAAAAGTCAAAAAATATAAAGAATAAGCTAGATGCATTCAAAGAACTTATTATATTAATGGTCCCTTTTTATCTCTTCTAGTTCTCTGTTTTGTACTTCTATAAATACTCTTGTGATGGAATAAAAGGATATGCTGAGTTGATGTTGACTTGCTTTATTAGCAATTTGTATGTAAAATTTGGTGGTCTTTTCTTTATGGAGGATTTTATGGTCATTGCATTAAAATGATATTTGGAATTTCCACTCTTATATCCTCCATCAGGTTTTCTTTGACACGCAATAATCTTTACATCGAAATCTCGGATACCCAATTTCGCACCTAAGTCCTTTGAATTTCAAGTTTCAAGACCGAATTCTGATTCTCTTCTTCTCATTGTCATCAACTTTAGGATTATAAGCTTCAACATATAAACAATTTATTCTAAAAATTATTCAAGGCTATGCCTCTCATCAAATATAGGTATGCAATTTTGATTTTTATTGTAGTGACTTTGTTTTTATCTAGAACCATAGCTTACACAATCTTTTTAAAATTATATTTTTCATTAATATTTTGACTGAACCAATTATTGCCCAAGATATAACAATGCCAACATAAGCTCTTAGGATGTTTTAGGTGCAGGGTTTACTAATGAAAACCTAAAATGAATCACATTTTGCATTTTTTCGGCTATTAATTTAAATCTCTTTTGACGTGAAATTAGATAATATAGTTCATTCATTCTAAACAATAATGTAAAAGCCACAACAACAACAATAACAAGCTTTTATCCCACTACATGGGATCGGTTATATGAACCCTTTTTCTCCATTGTGTCCTATGAAAAGTCAAATTCTCATTATATTGTGGTCGTACTAAGAATCAAATTCTCATTTAAATCTAATAAAAATGTGTCATTTTTAAAAATAAAAAATTCATTCAAAAATTTGAGAATGGGTTAAAAATTATGTAGTGATTCAAATTTGCTCAAAAACCAAAGAAAAGAAAATTGGCATATATCAAGCTTGATATAATCTCAATCATACACCCAAACCAAGCATTAAAAAATTTAGAAGAAAGAACAATGATATAAATCATTAATTGGATGTCCAAGTCTCATGTGGTGGTACAAAGGAGAATTGTCCCCCATGAGTTGTCTTAAAACTTGCAAGCGCTTGAAGAATTCAAATCCAACAAACTCACAAGAATTTTGATGACTTTAATGCAATAATTCAATTTTGTTTTACATGCTTCCAGGTTCTATTTATAATCTAAAAAGCCAAAATAAATAATTTTGGATTTCATGAATTTGGGTTCATATGGAACTCTTCTTGTCTAGGTGTTGACCCTCTTCCCGTAAGCCAGCACAGCAAAACAAAAAAAAAAAAGAAAAGAAAATGAAAAATCAATTCCTCACCTGCTCTCTGCGTACCCACGTCGTTCGCACGTCGCAGCCACGACCGAAGTCGCATCCTTGCACGTCGTCGACACGACTCGATCGCGCAGATAAAGGGCCGAAGAAACGAAGCCGCGCTCTCATCCCGACATCTCTTCCCCACTCACTCTTCTCCACGCAAAAATTCGCCCGAGCCCTCTCTCCACGCGCGAACTCCCCCTCTCTCGTTGCTGTTCGGCTTCGGTGCTTCACAGGAGGTGTAGAGATTGCAGGCGCTGCTCCTTCGGCTCCTTCTGACTGTTCGGCTTAGACCCTCCGCCGGCGCCCCTCTCTCCGATCAGAAGAAGCGACGGGAGCTCGCTTTTGGTGAAGGTAACTTTCTACCTTTCGCGATCTTCTTCGGCCAAATCCCAAAAATCCATCGAACCGAGGGATTTAGTAAATACGGGATGTAAGCCGTAAATCCTTAAATCCGGGATCCACCCACCGCCGGGATTTAACGAGTGCACATAAACCGTTCGGCTGGATTTAGCCTAAATCCGACTTGACTCCCGCTGAAATCCCTGGCCGAATCCCGTAAATCCCCAAACCGAGAGCAATAGGGGGGAGGATTTAATTAATATTTATTAATATTAATTATATTAATTATTATTTAATTATAATTATAAAGTCCTCACAAAATGAGGGCGAAATCTCTGGGTAGTGTCTTATCTACAAACTCATCTGCCTTCCAAAATTTACCCCGGAACTAGTTCGTTAAAACTCCCTCGCCGAATAAGAAATCGCGCGGCGGGGAGGCCGGGGCCGAATTTTCGGAGCCCACACTAGGTCAATGTGAATGGCAATGATAATAATTTTGATATACCTATAATCGAATTCTAATGGAGTAAAACAAATCTCTTTTTCTATATGTATATGTATATTTATATAGATATCGAGAGGGAGAGATGTTTATTGGGGCTACCAAATTCCATATCTTTCTTAGAGAAAGCGGAGGGAGAGAAGAATACAAAGACATTGAGGCCAATCTGAAAATATTCAAACAAAGAAGGATTAATCTTGAGCGGGCATAATTGTTAACTCAAACGGGAGTTACGCATGCAATGTTCCCTAAATCTGATGGCGGCAGTAATGTTCATGTTAGGTTGATATGTATTGCTCTGATAGGCTTGCATATCTATTAGAAACTAATTGATGAGCAGAATTTTACATCAAGGGTAAATATTGTTATTGAACACTGTCGTTGCCAGGTCTCAAGTCTTGGATGAGAAAAGTGGAGGGTTAGATTAGGTAGTCGACAACCAGCGTGAAATTTTTCTAATAATAATGACATGAATTCTTTAAGAAATTGTGTTATTTAATAGGACACAATGAAGAGAAAAGATTTATGTAGCCGACCCCACGTAGTGGGATAAAGGCTTGATGTTGTTGTTATTGTTGTTGGTAAATATTGTATTGAAAAAAAAGGTTTATCACCAGTACCATCACTTGATGTTTATGTAGCATATGCTTACTGGATGAGAAGCTGGAGATTTCTCCAAACAATTTTGTGCACATCTCTTAACACTGAACTGCTCTGCATATAAATTCCTTGCTGGGTTTAAACATTTGGTAAATTCCTTTTGTAGATTGTGTATAAAAAAACACGTCTCTTTGAAAGAAGATGATAGTAGACTCGAGCGACCTACTGCATTTTGCTTGGGAATGTCATCTGAAGCTTTTGTAAAGATGAATAGTTCCTGTGTTTTCGTAACTGTTTCGAAGATGGCTAAAGATCTTTTTTTCGCTGTTTTACTTCTTATTTGCAGCTAGCTGGTACAGATGCTTTAAACCGTCTGAGATGCACATCGGATCTGGAAGATTTTAGGCATGCAGATGTTATAATTGAAGCCATCATTGAGTCTGAAGATGTCAAGAAAAAGCTCTTTTCTGATCTTGATAAGTTAGTCAAACCTTCTGCAATTTTGGCTTCCAACACCAGTTCAATCTCCATCACTCGCCTTGCTTCTGCAACTAGACGTCCTGCACAGGTCAGCCTTTCTAGTTATAATACATATATGTATACATTACATCCAAAACGTGTACCTAATTGCATGCTTGCATTGCCAAAATTCATGCAAGCTAATTTTTAAAAATCGGCTTGTCACCAATTTTTAACCCTTAGAAAGGAGCTATTATTATGTGCGGACACCGGACAGTTCTCCCGTCCGGTTACATGCTCGGTACCGAGTGCAATACATTTTTGAGATGACGTGGCGCATTTTTATTGGTCCTTGGATGCCCTCCGGACTCTGCACAGAATAATGGGACTTTAAAGAGTGAAATTGAGATTATAGTTTTAAGTGGGCTAGATTTATTATGCACAAATATCACATTAGATGATTATATAATTTGATGTACTGTGATGTTGTTCAAGCAAAATTTGTTTATGCTGCATGGAGTTCTAAATATACAGTATAATTCTTGGTTTATATCTGAAGAATCATAACAATATGTGACATAAAATAACTGATGGGTTTTTCAGGTAATAGGCATGCATTTTATGAATCCTCCTCCTGTGATGAAACTGATTGAGATAGTGAGGGGGGCAGACACATCTGAGGTGGTCTTCTCTAAAATTAAAGCTTTGGCGGAAAGGTAACTTTTTAACCCGGTAATTCTGCAAATATTCTAAACTTCATCACATTTCCTCGATTAGCTTCTGAATTTTTGGCTCCTCTTTGGGGCAGATTATTCTGTGCGGACGCCGAACGCCCTCGAGATACCAACCAAAATGCGTCACGCACCTCCCGTTCGGTATTGCGGCTCGGTACTGCTGACGTGGTGCATTCTGGTTGGTCTTCGGACGGTGAACTGCGGTTGGCGTCCGCACAAAATAATTTCTCCCTCTTTGAAGAGAATTTTCTTGTTGGCCTATATAACACTTTCACTTTCTAGATTCGGCAAAACTGTCATATGCTCGAACGACTACCCGGGTTTCATCGTGAACCGGATATTGATGCCGATGATCAATGAGGCGTTTCATGCATTATATACCGGCGTAGCGACGAAGGAGGACATCGACACTGGAATGAAGTTGGGTACAAACCATCCAATGGGTCCTTTGGAGCTTGCAGACTTCATTGGATTAGATGTTTGCCTCTCAATAATGAAGGTTCTTCACCATGGATTAGGAGACAGCCGGTACAGCCCATGCCCTCTTCTTGTTCAGTATGTCGACGCCGGCCGGCTGGGTCGAAAGAAGGGGATTGGTGTCTATTCCTATAAAAAAGAACCAGTAAGAGCTAAACAAGTATCTTCTCTCTAAAGCACTTTATGATTGGTCATATGCATGAGGTTTATTTCTTCTAGCATTGAAGTGTATGATTATGATTATGATTATGATTATTCTGGACCTGCCTGTAGGTTAAAATGCTAATAAGCTAACTCAACATGTACTTCATGAGGAATGCTGGAGGTTTATATGCCTGGGATTGATCATTTCCTTTTTTTTTTTTTATTTACTAAGCAGGTGCTACATAAGATGTTTGTGATTATGTTAATAAAAATATGATATTTGGGTTTTTATTTTTATTTTTGGTCTTTGGAAAGAAAATTTATGTGATTTTCTTCATTTGCTCGTGTTTTACTTGTTTGTTCATGAGTTTTTGTCACTTAATGGAATCAAAATTGATCATGACATAAATGGCTATAGAACTTGAAAGGATTTTGTCGAGTTTTCTAAATAATAAATTAGGTTATTATATTTTTCTATAAATTAAAATTACTATTTTAAAATATTAAGCAGAAGGAAAGGGAAATCAAACTCAGCTAAAATGTGGTGCTCAGTTTTTTTTTTCTTTTTCTCTTCCTCTACTATTATAATAAATTAAATATTAATGAGAATGAAAAATGTATGTATAAGTTAGGCTAATAAAGAGATATGAGAAGTAAAAAATTTGTTGAAATAAAGTGTATTAAGGATGAAGATTAAAAAGTACTTTTTATTTTATAAGAGGATATTTAACATGGGTGGATGAGATATTTTGATAATTTTTTTCAATGAAGGTGATGAGAATGTGATTTATTTTAGTAACTTTAGTACTTTAAATGAAAATAGAGATTTATTTTATAATTTGTTGCAGTAATAAATTTGAAGTTTGAGAGGTTTTAAAGAAAACGAAATGTGAAAAGATAATAAGGCTTAATGAGAAATGTGGAAATGCTTAGAAAATTAAGGATTTTTTGGCTTATTAAAATATTTAATGTTACTTTGAAGATTAAAAAGATGTCGGATGAATAGTGAAAGTAAGTTAATGTGTCATACATTAAAATTACGAGAGAGGATAATGGAGCATTTTAAGCATTTTACAACATGATATTAATATTTCCCAAAATCAATTTTAATTCATGTCAGATAGATATGTTACAGAAGTTATACATTTAACAATAGGTTTGATGGAGAAGTATAGAGAAATTAAAGAGGATTTATTCATGATATTTATTGATTTAGATAAAGAATATGATAAAGTTATAAGAAAAGTGCTATGAAGAGTTTTAGAAAAAAAATGAGTTTATGGTGTTATATTCAAGTCATTAAAGATATGTGTACAATAGTTGTTACTTGATCAAGTATTTTTTTTTCCAATTGGATTACATCAATGATTAGCTTTAAACCTATATCTTTTGCTTTAGTCATGATCCCATTGATGTTCTTACTAATCATTTGTAATATGATTTATCTTGTTGTATGCTTTTTTGTTGATGATTATCTTATTATTGATAAGACTAGAGAGAGAATTGATGAAAATTTTGAATTATGGAGTTCAATCATAGAGTCTTAAGGTTTTTGTTTGAGTAGATCTAAAACTTAATATGTAAAGTATAATTTTAGTAGTAATAGATCTAGTGGCAGGATTGTGACATTAGGCATGTCATTAAAAAAAGTGTATGTTGTAGATATCTTGGCTCTATTGTTTAAAATGATAGTGAAATGGACGTGGATATTAAGTAAAGTTCAAGTTAGATGGTTGAATTGGATGAATGCATTGCGCCTATCATGTGAAAGAAAAGTACCGCTCAAAGTTAGAGAAAAATTTATAAGATGATGATAAGACATGCAATTATGTATGGCACAGAATGTTAGACATTAAAAGAGAAGCATAATATTAAGTGTTGCAAAGATTAGAATGCTCAGGTGGATTAGTGGCTTAACACTAACAATAGAATGCGAAATGAGTATATATGTGAAAATGTTGTAGTAGCTCAAGCAGCAAATAAAATTAGAGAGAGTGGCCTTAGATGATTTGGTTACTTAAAATGTCAGCCTTCTCATAATCTTTAGAAGAGTGATATATTAGATCCAAACTAAGCTATGTAAAGTAGCGATAAGCCTAAAAATACGTGGTTAGAATGTATTAAAAGTGATCTTTTTTTATTAGATTTAAATGAAAATTTGACTCTTGCTATATTTTTCTTTTCTGGACAGTTGAGGGCATCGAAAACGGATCACGCGGGACGGAATTTTTTCATGACTTGATCCGCAATTTAACTCTTAATACAACAAAATATAGAAAAAGAATTAATGTGGCTGACCACACAAAGTGCGATAAAAACTTGTTATTGTTGTTCTCCTCTACTTCTCAAAAATTCCTACTACATTTGACAATCATGCAAGGAAGAAGAAATAGATATTACATAACCTGCTTTAAAAACTGGTTTAAACTAAAAATATTTTTTCCCACCTCTTTATCAGCCTCAGCTAGTTTCTATAGCAAAAGAAACATATTTATGGTAAATAAGAAGTGAATTTCAACTATATTGTAAGGCCTTCTATACATTCAACATATAATTAAGCGAGTCAAAGTATGTTAATGAAGCGTTTTAGTGACGCAACTTAGAGCTTAAGCAAAAATAATATGCTTCGATAAACATCCCAACATTCATATTTAAATGAATAAATCTGAATAAAACTTTAAAATTTTAATATATTGATGAATAAATGTTAAAACTAATATAATTTTTTATATATTTTTATGAATATATTATATATTGTTTATTGTTAAAACTAATATATTGATGAAATTGATTATTAAATATTATTTATGCATATTTAGATTATTAGCTTAAATATTATTGGGTTGACTCAATTAAAATCATATTATTAGCCTAAATATTTTGCTAATAAATTTGCATTAGATTTTAAATTTTGATTATATTTTAGCTCAAATTGAACTCGATTATATTTAACTCAATTTATATGTTATTTGGGATGATTTTCTTACTCTTTTTGCGGCAGCTTTTTAACACAAAAAATTCTTGAAAGCACAAAAAAATAATGTAAAATAATGTCTCGAATGAATCCTTAATTTGTTGATTGTGAGATTTGATTTTCTCATAAATAAAAAATTTAAATATTTATTAAAATAAGACAATTTGTATAATGTTTATACTTAATGGAAGTTAAAATTATTTATTTTGAAATACAATTTTAATTATTTTTTAATTATAAATTAGTGAAAAGTGGATGTGTTGTAAACCTACCCAACTTCATCAACTCCCCACATTAATGCTCATTCAATAAATTACTGAAGTTGGAAACATCAAAACTTGGCATGTGGAAAAAGAAACCATAATTAAAGAAAAAGTGTTGCAGAGGCATTGAGTCCTCTTCCTCTTGCTCTGAACTAAGTAAAAATTTGAATTTCACCCACCTTCACCACCCACTCCAATCTGTGGAGCCTGCCATTGCTAAAAATATGAGGTTATGGACACCCCAAATTCAAATTCATAAATATGAATCTCCCCTTTTTAGACAGTTTATGAAATAGATTAAATATATGTACAGAGTTGGTACTGTAGATTTTGGAGTTCTTCTCCTGCCTTTTCCTGCACTTCTACTCTCCATTAAGCCACTTCCAGAAAGGATGCAGACCACACTCCAAAGCTGCACTCTTTCGTCTCCTTTGAAACCACCATAAAAGTTAGTAGCATTAAAGTGCATCCGTCCAAATGTAAATAGAACCATCTTTTTCGTGCAGGAGAAGCTTTTTAGCTTCCTTTAATGGCGGTTTTGTGTTGGGTCCATGGGAAACCCTTTCTTAGTTCGCAAGTCCTCCCTCTCCTTCTTTTCAATGTCAAAGGTGAGCTCTTCTCCGAGATAAGAGCTTCTCACGTTGCCCAACTTTGACCGCCTCTTAAACCCCAATCCCCATGCAATAAAGACCTCATCTTTAGGGTTTTGATGTGATAAAATCTTCATCTTTTTGTGACTCCTTTGCTGGGCCTGGACATTTCGATCTCCACTTCTTCATTTTCAATTTCATGGATTTCTCTTCTCTGTTCTTCATGAAATGGGTAATCTTTGCTAGCTTGGCACTTCTCTCCTCCATTCTTTATGGGGTTTCGGTGTCTCCCTGCCACTCCGGCGACCTTGTAGCTCTCCGGAACTTCGCCGGAACGCTAACCAACGGCTCTATTCTTTTCTCCTGGCCCGGGGACGAAGCCTGCTGCTTCTGGGATGGTGTGTTTTGCTCTCAGGATTCATTTGCGCCCTCCAATTTCAGCAGAGTGATCCTTCTTCTTCTCCCTAATTGCGGTCTCAAGGGTTCCATATCTCCTTCCCTCTCCAATCTTGATGAGCTCCATTCTCTCGACCTATCAGGCAATCTCCTCTCAGGTGGCATCCCGCCGGAGCTCTCCCGCCTACGCAGGCTCAAGTATCTTGACCTCAGCCACAATGCCCTTTCGGGATCAGTCAACGCCGTCTCCGGCATCAACACTCTTCAATCACTGAATCTCTCTTCCAACTCCTTCAGTGGCTCACTTGCTGATCTTGGCGCTGATATGCCCAATCTCCTATACGTCAACATCAGTAACAATTCATTCTATGGCCCTGTTAGTCCTAGCGTCTGCATTGGGTCAAGTTTGATTCATCTTGTTGATTTTTCAATGAATTCCTTCTCCGGCGCACTTGATGGGAAGATTTTCTCGAATTGCAGTGCTTCACTAAAGGAATTGAACTTGGGTTCAAATTCTCTTACAGGTGGTCTCCCTGACTCGATCTTTGGTCTGGTTTCATTGCAAATGCTCTGTCTTTCATTCAATAATTTCTCTTGCGGTTTGAGTGAGAGATTAAACAAGCTATCGGGACTTAAGAGATTGATTATTTCGGGCAATAGATTTTCTGGCGAACTCCCTGACGTGTTTGGCAATCTTTCAGTGCTTGAACAACTCATTGCGGATTCAAATTCGTTCTCCGGAAAGATTCCCACATCTATTGGTAATTGTTTGAAGCTTAAAGATTTAAATTTGAGAAACAATTCCTTAAGTGGGAGAATCAATGTTGATTTTTCTGGCATGACTTTGCTTACTACTCTTGATTTTGCAAGCAATAATCTTGAGGGAGATCTCCCTTCCAGCCTCTCTAATTGCCCACAGCTTCAAATTCTTAGCTTTGCGAAAAACAGATTATCCGGAGAGATTCCCAAAGAGTATACGAAGCTCCAATCGCTCTCCTTTATATCATTATCCAATAACAGCTTCCAAAATATTTCAGGAGCATTGGCAGTCTTCCAAAGTTGCAAGAATCTGTCAACTCTGATTCTCACCAAGAATTTTCATGGTGAAGAGATCCCAGAATCATCTAATGGTTTCAGAAATTTGTCGATTCTAGCTCTTGGAAACTGCGCACTTTTCGGTAAAATACCGATTTGGTTGATGAACTGCATTAATTTGCTGGTTCTTGATTTGTCCTGGAACTATTTGAGTGGAACAATTCCTTCATGGATTGGGCAGTTTGATAGATTGATCTACTTGGACATTTCAAACAATTCACTGAGTGGGGAAATCCCAAAGAGCTTGACAGAGCTGAAGAGCCTCAGGCTTATTCATACCTCATCAAATACAAGCTTGATGAGTGAGCCATTATATGTGAAGCACAACAGAAGCGTCGTCGGCTTGCAATACAATCAAATATCTGGTTTTCCACCAGCAATTTACTTGAATGATAATGAAATAAATGGTACAATATGGCCAGAATTTGGGCAGCTCAAAGCTCTTCATGTCTTAGATTTGAGCAAAAATCATATTACTGGCACTATCCCTGAAACCATTTCGAATATGGAGAACTTGGAAGTGTTAGATCTCTCTTTCAATGTTCTCAATGGGACCATTCCTTCTTCTCTGAAAAAGCTCACATTTTTGTCTAAGTTTAGTGTGGCATATAACAATTTGCATGGAGAGATACCAGCAGGTGGCCAGTTCTTCAGCTTCTCAAGCTCCAGTTTTGAGGGCAATCCAGGACTATGTAGAGGATCTGATCCTTGTAATGTGATCTCGACAATGGAAGGACAAACTCGAGAACTCTCTTTCGGCATCAATAGCCGAATTGGAAAGAACAGTATTTTAGGAATAATTATCAGTGTTACAATTGGTATTGCTGTGCTCTTGGGTTTTATATTGCTCATGTGGAGTAAGGAGGTTGGCGACCAGGTAGAGGTTGAAGATGAAGTGGAAGAAAGATCAGGGAGATCATTTGACTCGAATTCGAAGTTGGTGTTGTTCTTTCAGAGTTCAGATAGTAAGGATCTAACTATTAACGATCTTCTGAGAGCTACAAATAACTTTGACCAGGCAAACATAATTGGCTGTGGAGGTTTTGGGCTAGTGTATAAAGCTTACCTTCCTGATGGAACAAAAGCTGCAATCAAGAAGCTTACAGGTGATTGTGGGCAGATGGAACGTGAATTTCGCGCGGAAGTTGAAGCTCTATCAAGAGCCCAACACAAAAATCTTGTATCTTTGAAGGGGTACTGCAGGTAATGGTGTAATTTAGTCGAATTTAAGTGTGATTAAATGATCCTCAACTCAATTTTTCAAGCAAATGAGTCACATTTATCAAACTGTTCATCAAATGGATCATTATGATATATATATATATATATAGGGAGAGAGAGAGAGGTCTAAAATAATGGAGTCACTTATCCTTACATTTCTTTAGGAGGTGTTTGGTATAGGATTTGTCCCTCATTTTTAGTAGGATTTAACGTAAATCCAGCCAAATAACTTCTCAGAATTTAACAGGATTTAAGATTTGTCATACCAAACACATTTCAGGATTTATCAGCCTAGGATTTACTAAATCCAGATTTACATAATTTAGTAAATCCTACTAAAATTGAATCCAATCCGATACCAAACACCTCCTTAATGTAAAAAAAAAAAAGTTGTCTTTTAGCTATTTTAACTTCTAGCCATAAAGTTTTTAGATTGATAGTAAAAGATGTGTTAGGACAAGTGCGTTGTTTATCTAAATTGATAGTTGTCTCTCTCTTTCTCTTTGAGTTTGAGCTGAACAGATCAAACAAGGACACTAAGTTGACATTCCCAACTGCAGGTATGGCGATGACGATCGGCTGCTCATATACTCCTTCATGGAGAATGGAAGTCTGGACTTCTGGCTTCATGAGAGAACGGACGGTGGCTCTCTACTCCAGTGGGAGACCAGGCTGAAGATTGCTCAGGGATCTGCAAGAGGATTGGAATACTTACATAAAGTATGTGAGCCTAACATCATTCACCGAGATGTGAAATCAAGCAACATTCTACTTGATGAAAGATTCGAAGCTCATTTAGCTGATTTTGGCCTCTCGAGGCTCATACGCCCCTATGATACTCATGTAACAACAGAACTCGTCGGTACTTTGGGTTATATTCCTCCAGAATATAGCCAGACTTTGATAGCTACTCTTAAAGGTGATGTCTTTAGCTTTGGTGTAGTGATCTTGGAGCTTCTGACAGGTAGAAGGCCTGTGGATGTTTGCAAGGGAAAAGGTTGCAGGAATTTAGTTTCATGGGTGGTTCAGATGAAGCTGGAGGGGAAGGAGGAGATGATATTTGATGAGGTTATATGGAAAAAGGAAGATGAGGTGGAGTTGATGATGGTGCTTGATGTTGCTTGCAGGTGCGTTTGTGCTGATCCGAAGCAAAGGCCTTCAATTGATCAAGTTGTTTTATTGCTTGATGGAGTTGGAATTAAGTGATTCTTGATTCAGTTTTTGTTGTATTTTACCTTTTGTTATAGTTGAATGTTATAATTAATGTAGCAAGGATTCTAAGGGTGTAGATGAGAATTTATGGAGTGATATGGCTCTTAAAGTTGATATAAAAATATAAAATGTCGAGTAAATTTATGCAAAGGCATCAGTTCAGTTGTGATTTTTGCCGAGGAATAATGTGTATTTTCTTATATATGTTTGGTTTGCACAGCTTTTATACTTGGACAACACAACTACTATTTTATCTTTTCCTGTAACGTTAAAACCCCACCCTTGGTTTAAGCTTTAAAATAGGTAAAATTATTCTGTGCGGATATAGATGACGTTCGGAGGCGAATCAGAATGTCTCACATTATTTTTTTTGTTATGTATCGCGGCTATGTATTGTTGTGTACAAGGTGATGTGGCGCGTTCTGATTTGCCTCCGGATGATCCGATGTCCGCACAAAATAATTTTTCTTAAAATAGGGAGTTAAAAGGGATGACAAGGGAAGGAAGTCATTGGTACTCTAGTTTGTAATTTTGAAGTCCAAATGAAATTCTAGAGTTTTTCTCTCTAGAGAATTTAGATCTTCTCAATTTCTTAATCTTCTTTTCTTTCTCCACTTTTGCTCTACAAGCCTGGTGAATTTTGTGAGTAATATTATGATGTTACTCATGAGTAAATCTAGATCCAACATCATGAAAGATGCAGTGAGTAAAGATACAGTGAGTATGGATTGATGCTGAGAACTTGAATTTGGTGCAACGGTGTTGAGGTGGCGTTGCAGCATAGTGTTATTTTACATGCAGTGTTGCGACATTGAGTTTGGCGCCACGATGCTAGGCACTAATAATGATTTATTATTAAAATGTTTGTTAACCCATCATCCCCTCTCATTTTAATTTCTTGTTGGGTAAGGAAAGGAAGAAGAAGAAGAAGAAAATGGAAGGAGATGTTTAAGAGAAAATAGAGATGGGCTTTTAGGATTTTTTTCATCTGTCGCTTTTATTACAAAATTATTCTGATTATTGTAGGTGATTTCTATCATAATTCTATTTTTAAATATTTTATTTTCGTCACATAAATTTTGATATATTATAATGCTGATTATTTTAATCATTTTGAATATGTAATCTCGTATTTTCACGATTTAAAATTGTAATGATTACATTTTGCATAGGAATAAGATTTACAGTGATTTTGTAATTTTTGGCATTTCTAATTATGAGCATCATTTGGCATTTTGCTACGAGCACACTGATGAGACACGTGTTGTGAATGAATATAGATGAATGAATAGTTATCAATAAGAAAGGCTGGTTATTAAGAGAGGTTGGGTGGAGATTCATTACACCCTGTATAAGAGGGGGATCTACACTTTTCTTAAAATAAGGTTTAGGGTGATATCCTCGGCAAAAATCAAGATCAAGATTAGTAGTTATAAGGAGTTTAAAATGCTGATGGGCAAGAGCGACGACTCTTCAAGAAAGCCACTCAAGTATTAAACTAAAGATTAATATATTAAAATGAACATGTCATATGTACGATTACCGGATAAAATACCATACAAGCCAAAATTTCTTACTTGTTTAATATGATTAGTGTGATTACTTATACAAGCATACATACATTGTTACTATATTGATTTCAAGATTTAGATATAAATGTGAATAAAACAGTCACAATATATTATTAAATTTACAGTTGTAGAATCAATATGATATAACTGCATCAACTAGGCCAACCAAAAGAGATTGGTCTAACATGCCAATCAGATTAAATTAAACTAGCGAACACTATCCAACACCATGCTTAAGATCAGCTAGAAGTTGCACCTTCTATGTTGTACTCGACATTAATATGAGAATGAGCTTGCATGAAGTACTTAAAGCAACTTGCCAAGAGAAGTCTTAGTATATGTCCAATATAATTAAAAAACAAATATTATCAAAGTAAATTTATTTTATGTCAGGCCTTCATTAAATAATATTTTATAATTCATGTATTTATCATAATATAATTTTTACATATAACATTTCTTCTATTGGAGATTTGGAGAAATAAAATAAGTCAATTATATAATTAGTAATGAGGCTATACTTCACTTACCTTTTTTAAATATTAATTTTTCATTTAGAATAAATTGCATGTTTTGTTAAAGAATTTTTATTGGTAAAAGGACATTATAATAATTTTATTTAATCATTTTACTCAACAAATTGCATGCTTTGTTTGGAAATATATGAAATGACAAATCTTGTACATACAAAAGGCTTCATTTTTGTAATATTTAGCGAGAGAAAAGAACAAAATTTCAATATCTTACAGAAGGCTTCATTTTTTAGGAAAATTTACATACATACCACTTTATAACATCCTATTTATATATATAACATCAAAAACTTTAATATTTCATGCATACCACCCTATATTATTTTAATATCAAATATATCACTTATATTTCTTCCATACCATTCATATATTTCATTTCTACCACTCATATTTGATATGAAAATGAACTATGGGTGGTATATATGTAATTAATATTAAAATTTCAGGTGTTAAATATGTAAATAGAATAGTATAAGATGGTATGTATGTAAATCTCCATTTTTTTATTGTCTTTGATGAACCTTTCTCCTATGATGACAATGTTTATTTTTCTTCCAATTAAATTTCTGGGAATGGCGTTCAAAGGTAGGATAAAGTTCATTCATCATCTATGATCTTTTTTTTTTAACTAACAATATTTTAAAAAATTAAAACGAATAGAATATGTGATTTCACTAGTCAGATAAACCGACAAAGTTCATTCATACGTTGAAATATCGAATGAGACGAAACCCCCAAATGTCATGCATACGTAGAGCGGTAGAGGTGAAGAACTCACATTGGGTCGGAGTGGAGGAGTTGAGCACAAGAGGAAGCCTTTGGTTTGTTGTTGGCTTCACGAACGAGCAGGAGACGTGACACAGATGGGAAGAAATACGTGAGCGAACATATATATATATATATCCAAATGCTTTCGAGGGTTTTTTTTTTTAATTATTTCTTTTGTTTCATTACTTTCCGTATAAGCTTCCCTTTAGCAAAATATGAGCCATCTAATCTTCAGGAAATGGCTCAAAATCGGTTGCAGATGAACCAACCAATTATTGCAATTCGGGTCCGATTTACGGTTTGGCCGTCGAACCGCCGATTCAATCAGTTTAGAGCCGGTTATATGCCAAAGTAGTTTAGGAGCAAACTGGAACCGGCCGGCTGGACAGTTCGAGGTTAAACCGTTCGAATTGGTCGGTACGGTCTTGCTTTTAATACATTAACAAATACTAGTGTATTCATTTAAGTTGGGCCAGGCCCCATGATTTTTCTAACGCTGGTGTCTCTTATGAATGCTACATCCATACTTTCTTATATGTATGTGTGCTAGACTTTCATATAAAGCTAAGACGTTAAAATTTATATTTCTCTACTGCTGTGAATATTCCAAGACGCAACCAGATTAAACCATAGATATTGGTCTAATATTCCCACATGTAATATTATAGATGTTGGTATAATATGTAAATCATATTAAATTAAATTAAATTAATGACTATGTAACATTGTACTTAAGATCAACTAGAAGTTACATCTACTATGTTGTATTTTAGTATTTGATAATGATATGGGAAATGAACTTGCATGAACCTACTCAGCTCTAAAAGCTTTCTAGGCACATTTATTTTGAGCCACCTACATGATTATTTGCCACAACACAACCAACATATGCAATATGTTGGCCAGCCCCATATTTGAGAAGTCCTAGTATGTATACAATATAATTAAAAAAAATATTATCAAAATATCTTTATTTTATAGTAGAACTTCATTCTCATATTTTATAATTCATGTATTTATCTTTGATATAGTTTTCATATATAATTTTGTTTCTATTAATGAAATCAAATAGTGTTACTTATTTTCGGCTTTCTTTATTTCTTAAATTAATTATTTACGTATTTTCTTATAAATAAGGGGTGAAAAAATAAGTTCAAAAATGCGAGCTCCCTATTGTTATCAGTAATTTCAAATAATAAAGGATTCATACATCTTTTATTAGGGTGTTAATATTTGACAATACTAAAAAATATGACATGAACCCGATCTGAAAATTTCAGTTTAAGGTCAACCTATTTGTCAAATAGATCGGGTTCAGGTTCAACAAATTGACCCCTTTAAAAAGTTGGGTCGGATTTGAGTTGACCCGAAAAATCGACAATGACTCGGACAAACCTGAAAATTCATGTTGTGCACGAAATCTGAAAATCCTGATTCAATTCCCGCCCGCACTTGTGACTCGCGAGTCAACCCAGCCTGAATTTTATGACCCGTTTGCAAAAACGAGTTGGATTCGGGTCATATCAAATTAGAGTTGCATCAATTCCAAATTCCACCCACAACAAGATTTTGACTCCCCTATCTTCTATCATCCCCTATTCTCCTCCTCTTTTTCTTTATATTTCTTTACTTTTTATATTCAATCATATGATTAAGAATAGAAGATGAACACACAGTTCTCCTTGGCCTATTGGTTGAGAGTTAAGACTTCCAATTAAGAGGTTCAGGGTTCGAGTTTATGTGTTTGCGTTGTGTGTGTAAGTTTGCCTTAAATGGCCTAAATGTCAAAAAAAGAAGAAGTCCATGTTGTTATCGGTAATTTCAAAAAATAAATGAATCATATATCTTCTATTATGGGGTGTCAATATTTGACACGACTCGAAAACCCGACATGAATCAGATTTGAAAATTTCAGGTTAAAGTCAACCCATTTGTCAAATAGACCGGGTTCGGGTTCAACAAACTGACCCCTTTGAAAAATTGGGTATGATTTGAATTGACCCGAAAACTCGACAATAACTCGGACGAACTCGAAAATTCATGTTGTGCACGAAATTTGAAATCTTGATTCGATTCCCGCCCGCACTTGCGACTCGCGAGTCAACCCAGGCTGAATTTTATGACCAATTTGCAAAAATGAGTTGGATTCGGGTCATATCAAATTAGTGTCATGTCAATTCCAGATTCCACCCGCAACACGATTTTGACACCCCTATCTTCTATCATCCCCTATTCTCCTCCTCTTTTTCTTTATATTCTCTTACTTTTTATATTCAATCATATGAGTAAGAATAGAAGATGAATACATAGTTCTCCTTTGCCTATTGGTTGAGAGTTAAGACTTCCAATTAAGAGGTTTAGGGTTCGAGTTTATGTATTTGCGTTGTGTGTGTGAGTTTGTCTTAAATGACCTAGATGTTAAAAAAAAAAAATGACATTTGGACAAAATTAAATTTAATAATATTCATCTAAAAATAAATAAAAAAATAATAAAAAAATGCTCCAAAATTTTATACATGCTATAATTAGTAATTATAAACGAAGTTAAGTTGACCATTTTATCGGATCCTATTGGCAAAATGCAGCGTCAGATCTATTTTGGTTGTTGAGTTAACGGTCCTTACAACACCACGTGGCTGAGCAAAATTCAACGCCTAAAAAGGGTATTTCGGTCATTGGGACAATATTCCATGAATCCCCGTCAAGTTAGGGTTTCTGACCCTATTCTTCGCCATCGGTCTTGGCGGCTATAAAGGATCTCATTAGCGCATTCGTTTGCGACCCTTCGACAAAGAGAAGAACGAGACCGACAAGGTGAGAAGAGCCGTCACGGGCGGCCTTCTCTTGGTTAGTTTCTTTTTACCCTCAATTGCTTTTCTCTCTTCCGATCTATCCCTTATGTTCCGCCAATATCGATTTAAGTTTCTTTTGCTGATTTCATCTTATGAATCAATGTTTTAATAGCTTTTTCTTGTTGGATTTACCTGCAATATTAGTAGATCTGATATTCCTACAGGTGGTGTTGGAATAGTTGTTTGATATTTAATTAACGCTTGGTGCTTCTGTGGATTCAATAATTTATATCATCGAGGCTTTCCTTTTTGTTGTCTGAAGTCTCATGTATTATTTTGATGATCTGGATGCGTTGTTGATGGAATCCTGATGATTTTGGAGGTTAATAATTCGGTTTGCATTAATCCAAATTTTCTTTTCGACAATTTGTATCAGATCTGCTTCTTTGTGGTTTTATTATAAGATTTTCAAGCTTGATCTACTCGTTGTAACTTAATTTGTTACCTCTCAGGTTTGCTTAAGAAAAGGAAATATAAGTCATGCTCTTTTAAATTTCAGATTTGTTTGAGTCGGTGAATTTCCTTCAAAATTGCACCATGTTTGCAAAATATTTACTAGGAGAGGGAGCGTTAGATCTTTATGTGGTTGGATGTGTGGAGAATGTCCCTGTTGTGAGAAAGCTCTTCTTGTGATTTTATGGCTAAATCAAATTCATCATGGGTATAAGTGTTATCAGCGATAATTTTGTTATGTAGCCTTGATGAAGTTGGTCAACTCAGCATTAAGTCTCCTTGTGTAATTATTATAATGAATAAAATGATTACAAGCCAAGGAAGTTGAGGGTTTCATAAATCATAGGGGCGTCAATTCATGTTAATGGGTCAAGTTTGAGTTACACCCCTATTTTGACATTCTTGAATTTGGTTGAGTTGAATATGTTCCATTTATTATAGGGGCCAAAATGCCTTACTTGAATCCAACTTGATATAAAACCTAAACTAGAACCCAACTCGTGTAGCCTATTTAATATTTGGGTTATACAATATTATCAAATGGGTCTACCATATGGCTTTTGATTTTCCTTAAACAAAAAAATGGACAATAGGTGTGTAACAAACTCAAATAAATTTCTCCCCGCAAATTAGTCTTGGATTTCAAAGGAACCATAGTTTGGATTGGATGACTATATGAAAGTAAATACATTTTAAAATAATGTTGAATGTTGCATAAACACAGTTAATAATTCATCCATCATACGAAGAGCATGAGGAAGAATAATTACCTTGAGAAATGAAGAAGAAATACATTGCAAGCAGCTCAAATTCCACATAATCCATTGATAGAAACATATCTCTAGTTTTTAAATACTAGCAAAGTATAAAGATTATTAATAGATGGGTTTGTATCCAAAGCATTTCTCCAAAAAATGTAAGTGTTACCTACAGGCTCTGGAAGAGGAGTTGGGATGGACTGGAGAGGTATGCGGGGGAAACTTTGGTAGTCAGGCAAGAGTTTGGATTAGGAGTAATAGTTAAAGAAAGATGTGAACCTTTCTTGCAAAGGTGCAATGTCATCGTGGAAGGACTGCTTAATGGCAATTGGAAGTATTAGAATTAAAACCCTCTTTATAATGATATAATTGAAATATTCAATTTTGCAAGAAATTAGAAAATTGATGGTGGTCGTGTAGTCCACACAAGCAATAGTAAAATTCTTTACTCAAATTATAATAGCTAAACGAATATGTCACAACTGTTACACGACAATAATCAAATAATTGAAATAATAGCAAACGGATGAATCAACCACTACGGAATAATAATTATCTCTCTTCCATCCATTTTGGTCAAATATAAGTTTGCAGATATGATTATTGCAATACATCTGTACTAGTATTTAATAAACACTAAAGATGCAATAACATATCCATGAAAGATCAAACTTGAATATTATAACATGCCCAAGTAAAATCAAGCACTAAGTAATGAAACACTCACAATATAAGATTGAAGGTGCATAAGAATTAAATTACACTAATTAGCATAAACAGTAGTTTCATCTGTGGCAATATACTTATCAGGTTAGGGGATAAATTGAACCATGACTTGCCAGTGAAATTAATCTTAACAGCTGCATTAACATATGTGCTACCACATGGAGTAATGCTTTTACCTGCTCCCCTAAATTCATGTCCCCTTAACATAATTTGCCAGGGGTTGATTACTTCATTTTTTATTTATTACTTGCTTTTGCTTCATATTGTGTTTTTGGTTGCACTTTGATTTTGGAAGAGTTTGTTGAAGACATTATGCATTGTGCTTTGTGTGAGCTTTCTTTCCCTCAATTTAATGGACAGGTAAATAATGCTCTTTAGGCACGTGGGGACCTTGTTGGACTATGTTTTGAACTTTGGAAGTAGTTGGTAGTCATACCTATTTGGTTGATTCTAAATATAATAACCATGATCTAACATTCAAATTGTTCCTTATGAAGTTTTTTGGAGAAGAAAATGTGGATAAGCTATTTGTTGCGATGTAGTTGGTGAGAGGAAGCTTCTAGTATAATATCTTGTGAGCAAAGTTATTGAAAGATTTAGCTGTTTAGTAAGACATTGTTATTTCTTTATGTTCTCTAAAGAATTTTGTGGACAATATGAGATGGAATACAAAGTACTAGCCTTAGAATGATGATCATTTTCTTTTTAATGTATTGTCAGTTTGAGGCGTTCTGGTATCAAAGAAAACTTTTATTTGTCCTTTTTAGGTTCTAAGCGTTCATCAAGTAAGATTTCAGAAAAATTTTCCTTTCCATGTTCAGTCTTAAATCAAATTTTGAATTCAAGAACAATAAATTATCTTGGAGGGATTTAAAATAATTCCAGTTTGTCACTATTTTATTTGTTTTTATGAACTTTTTAGGCGCTTCTAAAGTTTTTAATGTTCAAACTTATGATAATAATACGTTACTGACGTGTCTATTTGTATGTAACAGAAGATTTTGTTAAGTTTTTTGAATGTCCTATATTTGGCGTGAAGAATTGGTACGAGCAACTATATTGCTGTTTGCTGACTTTATTTCTAGGATTGGTTTCTTTTTCTTCTATGGAACAAGCCATGTATAGTTTAATTACATTGTGCTTATCTCCGTGAAGAAATCATATGTGGTGAAAGTCCTACAGTATGATTATTGATTACACTAACTGCAGTTTCCTCAAACTAGTTTGGCCTCTCTCTTGTCTACTGTTTGTCTCGAGAATTATGTAGGCAGGTATCTAGTGTCCGAGAGGAATCACTCCGTATTTGTAGTATAATTTCAGTATATATATTATATGCTGTTTGTGGCTTTGAACTAGCATTATTTACCAATTATCAACCATATAATATTTGATATTCTCTTCTGATTGAAGAACTGCCTGTGGGGATTTGATATTTTCATTAGACAGCTATCCCTTTTTATAGTTATTTTAAGTTGTGCCCATAAATGATCTTGTACACAATATTGACTGCCACACTGTATTACAATTTTAAATATGATGGGTAAATAAGAAAGTGGTTTCAATTTCTTAGGAATTATCCTTTTAAGTTTACATTAATTGTTTCTTTTTGTTCAGCATTTATATATTTTTATGCACTTTAACAGATGATTAGGCTTGAGCTAATGTGATCCTATTCCTTTTTTCTTATCCATAATTTTCTTCTCTTTTCATCTCTCTCTGTGTGCACCTGTGTTCTTATGCTGTGTTTGCTCATCTCCGCTTTCCAGTTTTAAAATTCTCCTCTGTTTATATTTCTTGTTAACTGTTGGTAGGTGTTGTGCAGATCAGTTAATTATGGAAGACCAGCTGAGTTATCCTTCCGTCCTGCAGAAGTTGAGTGGACAATCTTACTTCGTCTCTAAGTTTGCACCTTACTCCCATGCTAGGACTAGCAGCGTCCACAAATTCCCTTGCACCTATGGCAATGGGGGACTGCAGAGCCCAATCTTGCAAAATTTCCATGGAAGCTTTGCACCCATTGGTTTATCATCCCTTTCTGTTGTTGCCTCCGCACCAAAGGAAGCCGGTGTTACTGGATTTCTCCTTGATTTCCTCATGGGAGGAGTCTCTGCTGCTGTCTCAAAAACAGCCGCAGCTCCCATTGAGCGTGTCAAGCTCTTGATCCAGAACCAAGATGAGATGATCAAGGCCGGTCGTCTCTCTGAGCCATACAAAGGAATAGGTGATTGCTTTGCCAGAACCATGAAAGATGAAGGTGTTGTCGCTCTTTGGCGAGGCAATACTGCCAATGTCATCCGTTATTTTCCTACTCAGGCCTTGAATTTTGCTTTCAAGGATTACTTCAAGAAGATGTTCAACTTCAAAAAGGACAAGGATGGCTATTGGAAATGGTTTGCTGGTAACTTGGCTTCTGGTGGAATGGCCGGCGCTTCTTCACTTTTGTTCGTGTACTCCCTGGACTACGCAAGAACCCGTCTGGCTAATGACGCCAAAGCTGCTAAGAAAGGAGGTGAAAGACAGTTCAATGGTCTCGTCGATGTTTACAGGAAGACCATTCAATCTGATGGCGTCGCCGGACTCTATCGTGGCTTCAACATTTCTTGCGTTGGTATCATAGTCTATCGTGGGCTCTACTTTGGAATGTATGATTCCTTGAAACCAGTCGTATTAGTTGGCTCCTTACAGGTTTGTTGAAGGCACCAAAAAAAAAGAAAAATCATTCTTAATTTAGTTTACTTTCTATGATCTTTATAACATAATAATATTTCTGCAGGATAACTTCCTTGCAAGTTTCTTACTAGGATGGGGCATTACAATCGGTGCTGGGCTTGCCTCCTATCCAATCGATACTGTTCGTAGAAGAATGATGATGACATCTGGAGAGGCTGTAAAGTACAAGAGCTCATTGGATGCTTTCAATCAGATTTTGAAGAACGAGGGTGCCAAATCTCTATTTAAGGGAGCTGGTGCCAATATCCTTCGTGCTGTTGCTGGCGCAGGTGTGCTTGCTGGTTATGATAAGCTCCAGCTGTTGGTCTTCGGAAAGAAATATGGTTCTGGTGGTGGAGGCTAAGTGCCACAACTGTTTTTTGGATTCACGAGATGAGAGAGTTATTTATGATGATGATGATGATGAACAAGTATGGTAGAATATTATTATCTGTGCTGCTTTAATTTTCAATCTTTCGTCAGAATAATTCTTGCAACTAAACACTCATAATTTTCCCTTGGGTTTTCCTGGAGGGCAAATGGGTGGCGCGTTGAACTCTGTTTTTGATCTCTTTTTTTTTTTTGAACCAAGAGAAGAACGATCTTCTTTGTTTGTTTGAGAATTAATTGTCTGTGTGTTTTAGATTTCTGCAAACATTTTATATTAAGAAATGACTACCAAATTATTTGATAATATATAAACATTGATGTCTATTTCTGTCTCTGTCCAAGTGGTATGCTTGCTTGCTTTTTTTATTGTATTTAGGTTTCTTTTTTGACAGTTTTCTGCTGCTTAGAGCAGTTTTTTTGTTTAATTTTTGTTTTAAAAAGCTGCTTTAAGAATCAATAAGAAAGTCATCCCAAAGAAAATCTGAATGTTTTGTGGAAGGGAACAAACCCTTCTCTATTGACATCGTTTTGGTTTGAAGGTTTTTTGTTTTTTTTGGTTTGAATATGAACTGTGCAGTTGATATGTTGCCCATTTGAAATAAATTTTGCATTGTACTAAAAAGTTTTTTGTTTCAGTAAAAGAATAATTATAAAAACATGTCCATGATATAATGATGTTAGGATGTATTTGAGAGCTTTTCAACATCTCAAATTCTCAATATATTGTTAGGAGGGAAAAAGTTAGAACAAAACTACTACTTCACGTATCCTGATAGCGACATAGAGGAGGTTGAAGCCTTGAAATTATTGTTGTCACTAATATGCTTAAAAAAGTGGACTTGGTATTCTTAAGACGATCTGACATCACACTACCACCTATTATGTGTAAAGTTTCAAACAATCAAGGAAAAAGACCCAAAACTTACCAATCTTTTTACCAGCAAGTAACAACTGTGATGTAAGACAAACATGCGAAGAGTTGCTTTGGAATTGTAACAATAAAGATTGAATTTGCACATTGCTAATTAGTAACTCATGCTTCAATCAAGTTAAATTCTTAGAATTTTTTGTTGGAAGATTAGATAATGGTTAACCGTTACAAGAGATTAGTAAGACAATTGCAATAACAACAAAAATTAAATAGTAGTGCTAATAGCAAGTAATCAAGAATCCACAGCATAACATTAAGACATGGTCGCTTAGAGTTCCTACTCATTTAATCACTCTTAGGCTTTAGCGGTTGAAGATGAAGCATATGATGACAGAAACTACCACTAGAAAGATGGTATTGTAGGTCTTTGTTGATGGAGAGGCAGCCACGGACGAAGAAGGGATAGATCTCCCAACGAGAAGCCAAGATGTCTTAGGCTTTTTGGAGATCGATCGTTTCTGCTAAGCAATAGAGGATCCGCCTGACATATCTTTTCACTGTTTCGTTGTATTCCCAGCCAGGCTCGTAGAAGGGGAGAGGAGGATATCGATTTCCTCTCGATTGTTGTAAGCGAAGCCGTGATCGACCTCAGAATCGGTCATGCACCATAAGCATGAGGAGGAGAGAACATAAAAAGGAAGACAAAAGAGAGAAAAGGGTGGTGGAGAGGGAGGCTGGCGGCTTGAATAGGAGGGAGAGGGGTGGGGACGGCTTGGAGAGGTGGGGAGGAGGCTAGGTTTTGAAAGAGGTTAGGTTAGGTTAGGGTGGAGGTGTTGTTTAATCTAAATTTAAAATTAATCTCAGATTTTGATTAAATTTGGAGGGAAATAATTTGAAATTTGATTTCAAATTAATTATAACTAAGGCATTGATTGAGGATTAATGGGGAGAAGTCATAGATGAGGCCGGCGGCATGGAGAGAGAGGGAGGAGGGAATTATGGGGAATTAAGTGCTTTCCAAACGAGCTTGGACAATTAGGAGGGAAAATAATGAGTCCTTCTCAAATTAAATTTCGTTTGTATTTCGAATTTGAAAAATTTACTTATTTAGATTTTGCAAATAAGGAAAGTTTTTGAATTTCAAAATTCACCAATTCCTTTCTTTAATGCTAGATCTAAATTAAGGACTCATGATGATTGAAATCACCATAATGGTTTGGCTAGTGAGGATGGGGCCGACGGTCCAAGGGTGGAGGGGAATTTGCCGTCGAGTTGGGGTGAGCTTTGATGGTGGTTGGACTTGAAGTGGGGAGCTAGAGGATGAAATGGGCGGGAGTGGTTAAGTAACCGGTGGAGGTGGGTTTGGGGAGGGTCCGGCGGGTGGGGAGGGGAAGGAGGATGAGAGAAACACAAAGAAGATAGAAAAGAAGAAATTATCACGAGCCGTGGACTTTTCCAACGACTGGTGGGCCTTACACTTGCTCACCTTGAGCTCTCTCCCTTCTCTCTAGTGATCACACAAGAAGAAGAAAAAAAACACAAGAAATTTCATTAAACATTCATCATTTCATTACAACACATAGGACCACTATATATTGGCCTCTAACATGAAAAGAAAAAGTACAAATTTGCCCTCCGGGCTACAATGACAAGACACTCCACATATGGGTAAAATTGAAAAACAACAAAATTAAATAAAACATCATGCATACGACAAGACTAGATAAAACATAAAGCGTCAAAAGTAAAGACGCTGAATCGTAGACGTCGATCTACGATTCTGTCGCCGGTACACGTGTCTGAATCTCTGAGCGATGTCCTCATCAAACCGCATATGCCTTTCACTTCAGGAAGGCACGCTTTAGAAGCTTCCAAATGGAAACCAGAGCCCAAAAGGAAATAATAAAAGGGAGCCCAAAAGGAACCAATTTAGGCTTCGTTTGGGAAAAAAATTTTCTTGTTTTTTAAAATAGCTTTCTAGTAAAAAAAAATCGTTTTAAAAAGCAGTACTAAAGTTGTCCTAAATAATGCCTTAGTTAATCACCCAACCCCAAAGGCGTAGTGGTTAAGATGCCCATCAAGGATGTGGGCAAAGCATTAAGGTGGGTCAATAGTCTAACCAACAAGATCGAAATAATCTTTATGAAAAGAGCTAGTTTGCCTAATCCCTGAAAGAAAGATAATGAAGAAAATAAGAAGAATGTATCTTCTTTGAGTTTAAAAGCCTCTTTTGGCAAGCAAATTTGGGAGAGAGAGCAGTTGAAAATGTATTAGCCAAAAGCCATGAGATTCTATAGAGGGGTCATTCAACCTAATGAAAAAAGTGTAACCTTTTGCAAAGGTTCTCACATCAATTGTCTAACCAACTGATGATCCAATTTAGCCCTATCTAGTAGGCATTGGGTCATGAAATTTGGTAGGCAAACAAAAAAAGTTTACTAAAAAAGAAATATAAGTCTCATTAAAAAATTCATGCTTTATGGGTAAGCGTGAGATATGAGAATCAATACAAATCAATCCTCGAGAGGACCCAATAGTCTAAAAATGAAGGTGTGGATGGTGAACATTAGAATTTGATATTTTGAAAGTTGCCCCAAAGATTCATATTAATAGGCCTAGTCATTGCAAAAGCAAAAATGAGTGATCAAATTCTCATTGGAGAATTCAATGGAGATGCAAATGCAAAGTAGCCATTTTAGAAGAGTACAATGACATGAAGATCATGACAATAGATATAGTTTACATAGCTGATTATATGCATCAATGATATGATAAATAAAATGACAAAGATAATGGTACGAATGCTTATAATGATGCGAACATGATAAAAAGTCATTCGTTTTAGTCCTCAAGTTTATCACTATCAAATCTTTTAGTAGCCATTAAGATTAAGCAAATAATGAGCAGATTTCAAGTCGAACAAATCCTTAAGATTTGTGAGTGCAAATAATCTCTGGTGGTATAATACTACAATTATTATGTTTGTCACCAAAGTCTAATTAGAGGACCCCTTAGTGAAAAAGCATCACATGGGAGTGTTGAGGAATTTATAAGTATAGCCTCTATTCAATTTAATAAAATTATATGTGACATATGTCTAGGTACATATTACCAAAGTTCAACATCTTTGATGAGACTAGCCATCTCAAATTTATCAAGGAATGATGGCCTACTATTTTGTCAGTTGATTGGTAACCTCTTTGAAGGGCTTCTAAAATGATAGGCTGAGCTATCTCACGACTTTATCAAAAGCTTCGTGAAACTCTAGAGTATTTTTATCAAAAGGATCATTAGTGCGCTTAAGAAAATCTCCACCACCAATCTCACCTTACAAAAAGAGGAGAAAATATGAGTTGATAAATTCATCCCTAGCTAGCAAAATGTGAGCATACAATGTGAGAACTCAAGGAGCAATCCATAATGCAAGTACTGTTAGGCATTATCAATAACAAGATGGTCTTTTATCTTTGCAAGTTGACCATCATCTAGTTGAAAGAGATGATAGATTGAGTTACGAAGTTTAATGACTTAAACTATCTAAACTTACACAAATTCAGTTATAAAAAAGCCCAAGCAATATAATAATTGTAAGAGAAGAAAAGGCGAATTTCATGTTTCTCATAACTATGATGCTAATAAAGGCAAGTGGGAAGCAACTCATTTTCTCAAACAACAAAAAGTAGTTTTCAAGAGAACAACCATGAGATACATCCTTCCATTTAGGACAAGATGAATAAATAATATTCTTTTAAGAGTGACAGTCTTAAAACTCTATAGCAAGCATTGAAGGTTGGCTTGCAACTCTAAAAGTGCAAAAAATCATATCAAATTGGTTATATTAATAATCTAAACTACTATCCTTATCACTAAGTGGCTAGCTGCCTTTTTTTTTTTAGCTTCTTTTTTATCTGCCTAATCAAGAAATATCATGTCTTCATGACTAGCTTGAGGATAAGTGAATTCACACTCCCCAAATAAGTCTTTGCTAATCCTAAAAAGGAGAGCATAAAAATGAACATAGTTTCTCTAATCTTAATCCCATCGCCAACACAAAAGTAGCAACAAAACTTCTTCTCAAAAAGACCACAAGAAAATCTTACACAATTGAAGTATATATCAACCACAATAAGACGAAGGAGTCTTGTAATTAAATCAGTAGCATGAAAACTATAAGTCCCACTAAATTTTATAGCTAAGGAAAAAATTAAGCATCTCTTGATTGAAATGTTTAGATCAATTTGGTTAAAGAACGACCTTTGATGATTTAAAAATTTTTAGTTGAATGGCGTTATAAATAATAACACTTGACAATTCATATGTGAAACTCAATTTATTTGAAAATTGTGAATAAAGGATTATTATTGCTAAGAGAGAGCTTGCAACTCGAAAGTTATTTTGAGTAGTCCCCACTCCCCAATCAAGGAAGTTTAAAAATCAAGCAAATCTTCTTCCTCCAT